TGACATAGTAGAGTTCTGGAGGTCAAAAATGAAAAGAAAGTGCCTAAGTATTCAAGGCGATAATGTGTCATAAGATGACACGCTATGACATAGTAGAGTAGTGGAGGTCAAAAATGAAAAGAAAGTGCCTGAGTATCAAGGCGATAACCTGTCATAGGATGCACACGCTATGACAGAGCATCCTATGTCACGCTATGACATAGTAGAGTTCTGGAGGTCAAAAAATGAAAAGAAAGTGCCTAAGTATTCAAGGCGATAACGTGTCATAAGATGACACGCTATGACATAGCATCCTATTTCAACGCTATGACATAGTAGAGTAGTGGAGGCCAAAAATGAAAGAAAGTGCCTGAGTATTCAAGGCGATAACGTGTCATAGGATGACACGCTATGACATAGTAGAGTTCTGGAGGTCAAAAATGAAAATAATGTGCCGAAGTATTCAAGACGATAACGTGTCATAGGATGACACGCTATGACATAGAGTACTGGAGGTCAAAAATGAAAAGAAAGTGCCTAAGTATTCAAGGCGATAAGGTGTCATAGGATGACACGCTATGACATAGTAGAGTACTGGAGGTCAAAAATGAAAATAATGTGCCGAAGTATTCAAGACGATAACGTGTCATAGGATGACACGCTATGACATAGTAGAGTAGTGGAGGTCAAAAATGAAAAGAAAGTGCCAAAGTATTCAAGGCCGCTATGACATAGTAGAGTAGTGGAGGTCAAAAATGAAAAGAAAGTGCCTAAGTATTCAAGGCGATAACGTGTCATAGGATGACACGCTATGACATAGCATCCTATGTCACACTATGACATAGTAGAGTTCTGGAGGTCAAAAATGAAAAGAAAGTGCCTAAGTATTCAAGGCGATAACATGTCATAATATGACACGCTATGACATAGTAGAGTACTGGAGGTCAAAAATGAAAAGAAAGTGCCTAAGTATTCAAGGCGATAACGTGTCATAGGATGACACGCTATGACATAGTAGAGTACTGGAAGTCAAAATGAAAAGAAAGTGCCTGAGTATTCAAGGCGATAACGTGTCATAAGATGACACGCTATGACATAGTAGAGTAGTGGAGGTCAAAAATGAAAAGAAAGTGCCTGAGTATTCAAGGCGATAACGTGTCATAGGATGACGCTATGACATAGCATCCTATGTCACGCTATGACATAGTAGAGTAGTGGAGGCCAAAAATGAAAAAGAAAGTGCCAACGTATTCAAGGCACGCTATGACATAGTAGAGTACTGGTCAAAAATGAAAAGAAAGTGCCGAAGTATTCAAGACGATAACGTGTCATAGGATGACACGCTATGACATAGCATCCTATGTCACGCTATGACATAGTAGAGTTCTGGAGGTCAAAAATGAAAAGAAAGTGCCTGAGTATTCAAGGCGATAACGTGTCATAGGATGACACGCTATGACATAGTTTCTATGTCACGCTATGACATAGTAGAGTAGTGGAGGTCAAAAATGAAAGAAAGTGCCAACGTATTCAAGGCACGCTATGACATAGTAGAGTACTGGTCAAAAATGAAAAGAAAGTGCCGAAGTATTCAAGACGATAAGTGTCATAGGATGACACGCTATGACATAGCATCCTATGTCACGCTATGACATAGTAGAGTACTGGAGGTCAAAAATGAAAAGAAAGTGCCGAAGTATTCAAGGCCATAACGTGTCCTAGGATGACACGCTATGACATAGTAGAGTTCTGGAGGTCAAAAATAAAAAGAAAGTGCCTGAGTATTCAAGGCGATAACGTGTCATAGGATGACACGCTATGACATAGCATCCTATGTCACGCTATGACATAGTAGAGTTCTGGAGGTCAAAAATGAAAAGAAAGTGCCTAAGTATTCAAGGCGATAACATGTCATAATATGACACGCTATGACATAGTAGAGTACTGGAGGTCAAAAATAAAAAGAAAGTGCTGAGTATTCAAGGCGATAACGTGTCATAGGATGACACGCTATGACATAGCATCCTATGTCACGCTATGACATAGTAGAGTAGTGGAGGCCAAAAATGAAAAGAAAGTGCCTGAGTATTCAAGGCGATAACGTGTCATAAGATGACACGCTATGACATAGTAGAGTAGTGGAGGTCAAAAATGAAAAGAAAGTGCCAACGTATTCAAGGCACGCTATGACATAGTAGAGTACTGGTCAAAAAAGAAAAGAAAGTGCCGAAGTATTCAAGGCGATATACGTGTCATAGGATGACACGCTATGACATAGCATCCTATGTCACGCTATGACATAGTAGAGTACTGGAAGTCAAAAATGAAAAGAAAGTGCCTAAGTATTCAAGGCGATAACGTGTCATAAGATGACACGCTATGACATAGCATCCTATTTCACGCTATGACATAGTAGAGTACTGGAAGTCAAAAATGAAAAGAAAGTGCCTAAGTATTCAAGGCGATAACGTGTCATAAGATGACACGCTATGACATAGCATCCTATGTCACGCTATGACATAGTAGAGTAGTGGAGGCCAAAAATGAAAAGAAAGTGCCTGAGTATTCAAGGCGATAAGTGTCATAAGATGACACGCTATGACATAGCATCCTATGTCACGCTATGACATAGTAGAGTAGTGGAGGTCAAAAAAGAAAAGAAAGTGCCGAAGTATTCAAGGCGATAACGTGTCATAGGATGACACGCTATGACATAGCATGCTATGTCACGCTATGACATAGTAGAGTACTGGAAGTCAAAAATGAAAAGAAAGTGCCTAAGTATTCAAGGCGATAACGTGTCATAAGATGACACGCTATGACCATAGCATCCTATTTCACGCTATGACATAGTAGAGTACTGGAAGTCAAAAATGAAAAGAAAGTGCCTAAGTATTCAAGGCGATAACGTGTCATAAGATGACACGCTATGACATAGCATCCTATGTCACGCTATGACATAGTAGAGTAGTGGAGGCCAAAAATGAAAGAAAGTGCCTGAGTATTCAAGGCGATAACGTGTCATAAGACACTACTCTACATAGTAGAGTAGTGGAGGTCAAAAATGAAAAGAAAGTGCCTGAGTATTCAAGGCGATAACGTGTCAAGGCGATAACGTGTCATAGGATGACACGCTATCACATAGCATCCTATGTCACGCTATGACATAGTAGAGTTCTGGAGGTCAAAAATGAAAAGAAAGTGCCGAAGTATTCAAGGTGATAACGTGTCATAGGATGACACGCTATGACATAGCATCCTATGTCATTCTATGACATAGTAGAGTAGTGGAGGCCAAAAATGAAAAGAAAGTGCCTGAGTATTCAAGGCGATAACGTGTCATAGGATGACACGCTATGAATAGCATCCTATGTCACGCTATGACATAGTAGAGTTCTGGAGGTCAAAAATTAAAAGAAAGTGCCGAAGTATTCAAGACGATAACGTGTCATAGGATGACACGCTATGACATAGTAGAGTTCTGGAGGTCAAAAATGAAAAGAAAGTGCCGAAGTATTCAAGGCGATAACGTGTCATAGGATGACACGCTATGACATAGTAGAGTAGTGGAGGTCAAAAATGAAAAGAAAGTGCCGAAGTATTCAAGACGATAACGTGTCATAGGATGACACGCTATGACATAGTAGAGTTCTGGAGGTCAAAAATGAAAAGAAAGTGCCGAAGTATTCAAGGCGATAACGTGTCATAGGATGACACGCTATGACATAGTAGAGTAGTGGAGGCCAAAAATGAAAAGAAAGTGCCTGATTATTCAAGGCGATAACGTGTCAAGGCGATAACGTGTCATAGGATGACACGCTATGACATAGCATCCTATGTCACGCTATGACATAGTAGAGTTCTGGAGGTCAAAAATTAAAAGAAAGTGCCGAAGTATTCAAGACGATAACGTGTCATAGGATGACACGCTATGACATAGTAGAGTTTGGAGGTCAAAAATGAAAAGAAAGTGCCGAAGTATTCAAGGCGATAACGTGTCATAGGATGACACGCTATGACATAGTAGAGTAGTGGAGGTCAAAAATGAAAAGAAAGTGCCGAAGTATTCAAGACGATAACGTGTCATAGGATGACACGCTATGACATAGTAGAGTTCTGGAGGTCAAAAATGAAAAGAAAGTGCCGAAGTATTCAAGGCGATAACGTGTCATAGGATGACACGCTATGACATAGTAGAGTTCTGGAGGTCAAAAATGAAAAGAAAGTGCCTAAGTATTCAAGGCAATAACGTGTCAAGGCGATAATGTGTCATAGGATGACACGCTATGACATAGCATCCTATGTCACGCTATGACATAGTAGAGTACTGGAGGTCAAAAATGAAAAGAAAGTGCCGAAGTATAATTTGACATAGTATGTCAAATTATGATGTACAATACTGTCATTTTTTGGACATCTTCCACCTCCAAATACTATGACATAGTTTGACATAAAATACTTTTGCCACTTTTTTTTAGATATTTGATGCAGTAGTATAGTATGTATCATCTTCCCTCATTTTCTTTTTTTTTCGGAAAGTCAAAACGAGATAGTCTTACCTCGAAAACGAGGTAAAATGAGAAATACCTATTATAGTCTGACCTCAAAATGATGCACACACATAATATTTCAACCTGAGTTTAAGTTGCATAATAGATACTTGTCCAATTATGTTTGTGGAAATAATATATGTGGCCCAATTTCATTTTAACCACCAGCCTCCAAAAACCCCCACAAATTTGTGATCAAGATTTGCTGTGTGAATGTAGCTGAAAATGTTCCCAGGTTTTTGAGTAAAACTTGCTCAAATTACACCCGTTTCATCAGACCTTTACTTGCATCCTTGGGTCATTCTTGGTACAAATCCTGAAATAAATATTTCATTGTAGCAACAATCTCACAATGAAAAAAAAGAACAGCATTTATTTTGACATGTATTCAGTTGGTGAAATTAAACTAGGTTTTTTCTTTTTCTTTTCAGGATTTTTAATGAATACAACAAAACACAAAACGCTACCCTCTAAAACCCAGAAATGGTGCTTTATTTCGGTCATCTGGTGTTTTGCTGCGACGCAAACTCCTGCTCGGGCGTCTCGTCTGGTCGGGGCGTTCATCTCACCCTGCCTTTGGCCTTGCCTCTTCCTTTGGCGCTGCGGGTTAGACAGAAAAGTTAGCATCACAGTTAGCGTCGACATTCGGGGATGAATTCACATCACATGAACGAAAAACAAAACGTTAGTTAATATAATCATTATTTGTCAAACGAAAGGTCAAACACCAGACTATTAGTACAGGATGCCACTGGGAGACCATGACTGTTCTAAACAGACAACCCAAACTTTGTTTTTATTTTTTAAAGCTTTAAGTCTATTTAAAAAATTTAATTAGTTTTTTCATGAGACAAGTTTTACAGACGGCCACTACTTACCTCTGGGAGGCCTGAACCCGATTCAGGAGCAAGTTGATCTGTCGTGGAGGACAAACGGACCAGTTAAAGTCGCACCAAATGCCAGAGGGAATCTGGCATTCGACGCCGTTTTTTTCACCGACGGACGTCTCAATAATCCGCAATCTCAGAAATGAAATGTTTATCATGGCTGTCAAAACGCTGCTGCAGCTGAGGAATGAAGCGCCGTCTGACAAAATGATTTCAGCTCAAAGTGAACGAGAGAGACGACTTGCCTTCAAGATGAAAAAAAACCCCAAAAAAACATATTTCAAGCAAGCGACTTGTTAAATGGCAACTATAATATCTGCGTAAAGAATATCTTTAGATAGATGCCGATATTGTTGGCATGTGTATTTGGAAAATAGGACTTTCCATCAAGAGTGATTTAAAAAGAAGTTAATACTAATTATGCCGTTCACACAGGAACCTTGCAGCTCCAGTGACGTATTCGGTTCATTTTGGTGATTTTGGAGCAGATGTCTCCATTTACCTTGGCTCACAAAGTCTAGTGTAGGCATTTAAAGTAGAGTCAAGTAAACGTGTCGGAAAAATGTCAACAACACAAAGGAAAAGCGTTTGCAAAGACGTAATGTACCGCAATGTGAAAAAAAAATTGTGGCACATGTTGATATTATCGTCCAGATAATATCAAAAACCAAAGACTGATCATATCAAAATAGAAAATATATCATATTTTGATTATTTAGCAAATAATCTTAGTTGTGTTAATAATTTGGTTTGATCAACACATCGTGCTAATTAGGCGCTGATTACTTATACTTCAACATAATGTGTAATTCACTTCATGTTGTCAGGTCAGCACTCACGTCGTATTTCTGTCTCTTGAGCTTCTCGGTGAAGTCGAACTTCTCCGCTTCCAGCGTCATCAGCCACTGCCACAGCTCACCGGCCTTCTCCTGTAAAACACACGGCAGGGAAATCAGCGGCTGAGAACCAAAACCTGCCGCAAGCTCACGCAGCAGATGGCTTTTGATTCACGAGCCCATGTCCCGCCTCAGACTCACTTCAGCTTGTCCTCGTTCAGATGGTCGATGATGAGCGGTTTCCTCCGCTCCGCCAGGATCTTTCTCTTCTTTTCCTCTCCGTTTGCTTCTTTGCTCCCTTCCTTCCGTCTTGCTACATAAAAAGAAATTCACAAAAGGTGCAAGATGTTGGTTTTGCTGTTTTTTTAAATTATTAGATTTAAAAACAAAAAAAAACCTGAAAGGTGACCGACCCTTTGCTGGCCACCATATTGCTGAGTCATGTTAGTCAGGGCCTTTTCTTCTTGGCGTCCTCGTCTTGCTTCTTACGAGCCTCCTCTTGTTCCTTCCTCTCTTTTTCTTCCTGTGAAGCAAACAGTGCAAAAAAAATCCACCATCTTTACACCTGTTTTTTTTTTCCCCCCATCTAAAAAAGTCCAGCTCTAACAAAAAAACTAAGCTGCAATGATATAAAGAATTTTGTTTAACCAGTCTAAAAGCCACCTGATTACTCGGACTCAACTCTAACAACAATCGATTTCCTCCTGCAGATTAAAGTAAAACGTTCCATCCAGAACTTCCATGAGTAACTTTGGGCCAATTCTTGATTCCTCTCCTGTTTACAAAAATCACTTCACTGCGGCTTCAAGAGGTACTCACAACCAAACGATTCTGCCTCTCTTTCTCCTGCTCGGCGCGGATCCTCTGCTGTTCAGCCCTCTCAGCACGACGTTTCTCCTAATCATCCGCGCCCCACACACACACGCAAACAAAACGTAATTGTTTGCTGGGTGGTACATCACTTTGGCAGTGGTGCGTGCTTTCATGGAAGACTCACAATCCTGTTAACAAGAGAGATGAGCTCCTCCTCGTCCTTCTTTCTCTGGATGAAGTGGGCCTCGATCAGAGACTGCAGCTCAGACAGATCTTTCTCCTGACGCTTCCTGTGGATGTCCTACAAGGAGGTCACACACACAAATGGGCCTCCACCCAAAACGTCCACTCCTGGTACAAGTTCATTGACACTTGGGTAGCTTACGCCCTTAAACATCAGTAGCATTCACCAGATGCTTCTATTTTTCCAAACTTCGTCAGTTTGACTCACGTCAAAGTCGACTTTTTCCCCCTCTGGTATCTTTGGAACGGTGATCGTCGGAGCGAACGCCCTGCAAAGGAACGCATCTGTTAGAATAGTAATAATAATTTGTGCATCGATTAGATTTAGGAAGATGGTTAAAAAAAAAAATAAAAAATAAAAAATAAAAAAAACTTACTTTGGTTTGGGCTTGGATTCATCTGTAAGAAACAGAAAAAGAAAAAAAGTATCTGTCTTGTTCATTTTTCTTTTTTAAACAGATTTACTGTGAATTAAATGCTGTTTATACATTAGCATAACATGCTAATACATTATTCTTTGATAGCACTCATCATTTAGAGTGAAGAATAAAATTGGCCTAATACAAATGGGTAAAAATGGTTAATTTATGTAGCTCTAATGCATCATTTTTCCTTCTCTTTCTAATCTCTTGCTTCACAAACTCGCATGTAAAAACACGATCATTTGCTACCAAAACTCAATCTAGTCCTTCAGTTAATTTAATAAAGCGCAGCACTGCTGATCTTTTTGAATTAATTAGCGGTTTTTTTTTGTTTTTTTTACCTTCATCTGCAGCTGGATGCTCTAAAGAAAAGAACAGAGGAAAAGAAATGTGTCAAAAAGCAAAACTCAAAGGGGTTTTTGGTGTCTTCATTCATCAGCGACTGAAAATTTTCTGAGATTTTCCTCAAAGTTTCCGCTTGATGTTTTTTAAAAAAATTTTTAATTACAGTTCTAGTTATAAGGATAAGTGCAACATCATGGCCCCAATCATGACACCGCCGCCACCAGGTAGCAGGTTTTTACACTCAAATGCGGGAAAGTAAAATCATTTGCAAAGTTGACCAATACGAACCAAAAGTTATGCTTATTTTTATACAATTACATGACTATAAACAGAACTGGTCTCCAAGAGTTATTTCTCTTAAAGTGAAAATTGGTAGAAATACTTTTACACTCCTTCCTAGAAAATATGAAATATATGACGTTATTTTTTAAAATGTCCTTCCACATCATCTAAAGCCTTGGAGGTAAAAATCACTTTTACACTTGTGACATTATTATAAGTTCTTATCAATCTTCTCAACTGTAAAATCTCACACTACCGGTGAGCCTTAATAGCAAATATATTTGCCATAAAGTTGAACAGAAGGTTGCAAAAACCAGTTTTTTGAGCATTTATAATATTGCAGCTGGAGCCTCTAACAAGAAAGGACAGAGGGAAACGTTACAGCATCAACAGGAAGAATATAAATGGATTTCCTTTCATTACTTCCAAACCCTGCATTACCGAGGTCTGATGTTTGCTTTATGCATTCCGATGTGAAAACCTTTCTTGCATGTCAGAGGGTGAAATAGAAAGCTCAAACTCATTCTGTATGCCATGTCACACCAGCGTTTCAAGGCACAAAGATCCTTCTTTTTTTTTTTTTTTCCCCGGATAAAGGAAGGCAGCTCTTTTATTAAAGTGCGTTATCAGAATAAATCTGAAGCCAAGAGGGAAAATAACAAGCTATTTGCATTACGAGTAAATCCTTCCACAGCACAACACACAGAAGATTGGAAAAATTAGTATTTGAGATACCAACAAACAGCTCAGCTCTTAATGTCTTTTTGTCCAAACTGCACAACAGAAAAAAACAAAAAAAAGAACATTGTAAGTCTGCACAACACAATTTAGAAGTACCTTCTTCTGCAGGCTCTTTGTAACGCAATCGGAGGAGACGGCGTGAAATGGAAAACACATCATCAATAAAAGTGGGTCAAGCTCAACTCAGATGGCTTAGAAAATAATTTCTTTCTGCGTATGGCATTCAAGAAAACAAGGATGTGTATGACAAGATATCAAATCCAGGTTTCACATAAGGATAAAAGAAGCTAGATGCAGTAAAACCGGCCCAGATCATAACATTGCCTCCCCTTTGTAAGGGGTTTCGTCCTCTCAGATGTCTAAAAGTTTGCCTTGTTTATCTTCCTGACCTTTACCAGCGTTGATGAATTGTTCCCCGTCCGCTCAGCCCAGATGGTGCTGCTGATTAAAAACTGTAGCCTCGACCGGCACGGAATAAATGAACACAAACGTTAACAAATAAATGTTTGTCTCACTTTTAACGGTTTCAGTTCCTTTTTTATGGCTTTGATTGTTGAATTATCTTGAGTCGGTTTAGTGAGAATAATTAAAAATAATTAAAAAGGGACAGCTTTCTTGAGAAATGGTTTTAATAACAGAAATACGTCTGTTTTTGCAGGAGCACACAAATATCCTGCGTTAATAAATGTCATTATCAATGTCAAAAACCTTAAACCTAATTAAGGTGAGAGGCAGAAAACAAATCTCCATTTCTAGAGAATGGGAGGTCAGACTCACTCAATGACTACAGAACATAGAAATATAAATATTAACGTATTTGGAGCCTGCACAGACCTCTGACATTCATTTAGTATAATTTGGTTTATTGATTTCTCTTTTATGCCTTATTGTACATTTCAGGACATTTAGTGAAACTTTCATCAATATTTGAGGTTTTTAGACTGATTAAACTCCCAGTATCCCGGTAAGAAAACTTTTAATATGTAGTCAGGGCCGGCCAAAGGTTTTATGGGGCCCAGAGGATATTTCGTTTTGGGGGGCCCGTTTACAGTTAATCTTATTTTGCTTGACCATCCACAGTTTGTGTATTGCTCACTTGGCTAAGTGGACATAAATGAATGGAAGGACTTATCCAGCCTGTTGTTTTTAAGAACAAGAAGATTAAAACCGACATCCATCGGATCTGATACATGAATTTTTATTATTATTTTTTTTAATTTGTAATCCAGAAAATCTCAAAGCGATTTTAGAAATCAGCTCAAATCAAAGGTTTTGAGATTATTGGCATAGAAAATCAAGTGCTCTTGGGCGCCCCCGGTGGTGTGGAGGACTGCAAGTAACGGCTTATGGTGTTGCCTGGCTCTGTGTGCAGTCATGGTAAAAGTAAAAAGAGGATTTTTTTGTTGTTGTTTTACCTTCAGTCTTGGAGATAGGCGGCTCTGAGGAAAAAAAGACATATAATACAAACATTAGATAAAAACAATAAAATAAAAAATTGACATTTGACATAATAACTACTCTGATTCCAGTCAGAGTGCAAGATGTGAAAAGTGGAAGTAAATGAACCTGGTCTTAAAGTTATTCCTGCACACAGACAGCAAATGTCTCTTAAGTGGATTCAGCGACATGAACAAATGGATAACTCATTTAGAGTAAATTCATCTGATACAACTCTGCAGGCAGCGGCTGAGCAGCCAAACAAAGCAGTGATTACTGATGACTGGACTCGAAACGAACGAGCAGCCATGAAAAGAACAACATCGTTTACAGTAATCTGCAGGTGGAGGCTGCTTTTCACCGATTTCACTCAGCCAGCTCCGCCTGCGTTTACTTGCAAATGCCACACATCAGGCCGATACGACATCAACTGAGCCGGTCGTCGTCATAAACGTAATTGCGGTTTGTAAAGACGAGAGGCGAACCCATAAAGTATTTAAAAGATGAGAATTACCTTCTACTCCAGGTGGAGCTTCTTCTGAAAATAAAGACAGAAAAAAAACAACAAAATGAAAACCAAGTCAAGCTGTGACACTGCAGACGTGACAAAAGACTCGCAGCAACACACACACACACACACACACACACACACACACACACACACACACACACACACACACACACACACACACACACACACACACACACACACTTTGCTGAGATTATACGACCCTGAGGGGGGTGAGCACAAAGCAAATAAAAAGGCTATGTTCACAGACAAAAAATAAAAAATAAATAAATAAAGCCTTTTCTTTTTTCCTTCTACTCTTTTCTCTGAGCCTTTATGACTGAATGAACCAAATATGGATTAGTGGATCAATGAGACTCCCAGCAGGAATCTGGTCACTCTGCACACTGTCATGTCACCGTCTCTTGGGATGCATAAAAAAAAACAAAACAAGGAAAACAAACAAACGCAGTGTTGGATATTTTTCAGGAGCAAAAGGTACAAAAACAGAGGGATGAGCTTAGATCAGCGACTGAGTCGTCTGTAATCCGCCCCACCGGATACTTGTAGCCTCAGACGGTACAGCAGCTCTGTGCAGGGTAGACTCAGAAAGATGTGCAAAAAAAAAAAAAAAACACCCACCCGCCTAAAATATATTAGTTGTTAATTTTCCACACTTTAAAAGCATGCGCCCATCACTGCGCCTCGACAGGCGAGGCGTTTGCATCCCGAATCCTGCTGTGTGTGCTTTTCCTCGCTGACAGCAGGCATGCAACTCCAACAAAGAGGCTGCACACGTGAAGCCTTCGTCTTTCCACCTGAGCTGACACAATCAGGTCAGCCGCGTCTAAGAATGGAGGCTGGAAGTGACGAGCTCCTCTTTTTTTTTTCTTTTTTTGACAAAAAAAAAAAAAGAAGCATCAAACCTCTTCAGAAGTCGTCACTCACCTTCCTCCCTGAAAAGAAATTAGGCAAAGATTTGAAATGATCAGAGAGCAGATGATTGTTTGTTTCTTTTTTTTTTCATTGTGATAAAAGTGGATTTTACTTACCCCACCTCCTCCACTAGAACTTCTTCAATTACTTCTTCCTCCACCACTTCTTCTTCTTCTGCTTCTTCGATGACGTCCTCCACTGCTTCCTCAGACATTTCAGCTTGTAGTTTCTTTAACCGAAGAGAAGAAAAACAAGCAATTACATCACAGGGTCCTTTCAGGTTTCACTAACTCAGATTTAAAACCTGTTTTTGGTTTTTCTGTTGTTTTTTTTTTTTTAAAGACGTCATAAATGTACCGGCTTAAACTTTCCACGAATCTGATCGGTCACAACAAACTCGTTTCTCGGATGTTATTTACCTGGATCCCTGTTTTTAATCACTCTAATACGACAACAAGCCCTCGACAGATGGCTCCTCTCTTCAGAGCCATTTTTTAGTTTGTGCAAACAACAAAAACAACAACAAAAAAGATAAATAATAAAAAAGAAAGAGAGAGAAAATATCTTGGCGGTAGGGCTGTGAAGTTGGAACAGTAGTGGAGGGAGAAATGATTCTGCAGGCTGAGGCCCAGGGTGTTAAACAGCTCCAGGCCTGATCCGCAGTCATTTCCTCTTGGCGCTGATCGAGGCTGCAAGGCAGCCGACGAAGGCCCGAGTTGCGCTCAAACTGCAGGGAAGCCATGAATTTTTTAATGGCCCACCGAGGCATCTAAAGACGAGATGAGTTTTCTCTCTCTTTTTTTTTTTTCCTTTCTTTAAATCTTCACAATGGTTGATCAGGTAGCATGTAGCCACTTTGAAGCGGTTTGTTTTCAGATTTCCCGTCATCAAATCGAACAGGAAGCGCACACTGGGGTTTCAGTCACGATTCAAGGAATGCATGAAAAGTAGAGGTTAAAGTTTTTCTCTTCTTTGCGAAATAGCTCAAGAACAATAAAAGTTGACAATAGTAATTTCAGTTTTGTTGCCTTCCTCTTGCGTTTCCACTTTTACATTTACTAATAAGGTCTTTTTATCCTGATTTTTCATTTGAATGCATGCTACATGAAACCGATTCAAACCACTCCAATGAAAAACACTATTTGTATCTTATAATTACGAGAAAGCCTAGATAATGAGATGCAAGTTTTTTGGGGTTCTTCCCCAACCTAGTGGGCTTCCGTAGACTTTGGAAATGAAATCCCCATTTTTTCCCCCATTCACAATAAACAATAAACAATAAAGTTTGAGGCTTTAAAAGTGACAAAATAAGTAAAAGTTCACTCTATATAATATTACTAATAGAGAGAAAGATGAACAGTTCCCCGCTATTGAATAAACAATTTTTTCACAGAACATTTTTGCACCTTTTTCCCCTTATTCTTCTCTTTATATCAGGACTAAAATAAGCTGACATTAGCTGCTACTTGCTGCTCCTCTATGGTTACGGTAAAGTGACTGCATAAGCAAATCAAGTCGGTCATAATCTGTGTCCAGCTGTGAGGTCGCCAAGTCCTGAAAGGCAAAAGAAAAACCAACTTTATAAATCAACGTGCTTTTTACGACGTCCACCTTGTCCCACCTCTAACCGCTCCGTTTTATGCACAGCCTCCATGTTCCTTTTTAGCAGAGCTGCTTCAAACATTGATCCAAGCACAGCGGTGACCTCCGACTGCTGGAGGTCAAGGTGAACAGGAGCAGACTGCATCAGAGTGCCATGTCACTGGATTAGATGTCAAGATTTGATTGCACACAACACTTCCTTCAGGTTTTATTATTTTTTTTCCTCCCTATTTTTTTTCTCCACAGGCTTATAAATCACACGATCATAAAATCCAATGTCAGAATGGCTGAAGAGCGAAGGGGAGAGCGAGGGTCTATTTTTAAGAATAATAGGACGAGCTCTTGAACAGGTGCGGAGCAGCTCCTCCAGACAATGGCTCACCTCTCTGTGCTCCAGTAAATCAGTGGGCCGCGTCCAAACTTCAGCGGGCTATTTATGTTGCTGCAGGTTTGACAGCCAGCTGCCAGTAATGGGAGAGAGGGGCCATTTCTTTTTTTTTTTTACAACAATAGAGCTGAGGAGAAGCTGATCTCGACTTTGAAACGAGGCGTATTTCTTCTGATACTGTGAAAGTTTCAATGCTGAAGGTCTGGATGCACATTGGGCATTTCTTCTTGAGACTTGGCGTTTCTCACCATTTAGTTTCTCAAAGCCAAACACTCATGGTATTTGACAGTAGAGTCGAGTGGGGAAGTGAAAGGTCGAGGAAGTGGGGGGTAAAAAGCAGTGGGATATGGAAAACCAGACGGATGGATTTAACCAAATGTGCGTTTGGTTTGACAAACGCGTTCAGTTGGGGTTTGGCTGAAACTGGGGTGGAACGGCACACCGACCGGCTGACGGTGGCAGGAATGTTGCTGGTGCCGCTTTCAGCATTAAGGAGCATTAAGCCAAAGCCTGCGAAGCATGCCACCAACACGGCGGTCTCAGGGGCGAGCTTAGCACCTTCTTCATCCGCATATGCAGCACTCGGAACCAAAAGCAAAGAAACCTCTAAAGCCAACTTAGGCCACGTCGGATCTAGTTATATCTCTATTTCTGGCTTTTTAATGCTGCGTGTAAAATCACTTAGTTCATCTGCCAATATCAGATATTACACCAATACCTTTAATGTTCAAAACCATGCCAAAAGTCCATTAAGTTGACCCTGAGGTCAAGGCCACTCTTACCTCTTGCGCTGAAGAAGCGATGGGATTTGGGGCAAGTGTTGTTCTTCCTCTTCTACATCCAACCAAATCCAAACCCAGTCATCCTCTCTTCCAACCAAACGGCACCACTTAATACAGCCCCGGGTGTCTCGTGACCGCATGTCTTTGCCATGACTGGTTGGGACGGTCCCTTCTATTGTTGGAGGCACAAAGTCAGAGGAGACGTACCTGGACCTAAATACAGCCTTCACATGCTAGTCATGAACTGCACCGGGGGGCAAAAGGAGGGTGGAGGGACAGAGGGAGGGTGCAGAGTTGTGGCAAAATAAGACAGAAGAAAAAATATAGGTGATTTAGATAGACTGGACAAGAGGATCTTTGGAATCTGACTGAGATCTTGTGTTTGTGAGCTATACCAATATAGAAATTTAATATTAATATTTAAAATGTAAAAAAAAAGTATTTTTAAGAAAATACAAGATTTCATGTTTGAGAAAAAGTGTCAAAACAGATATTGCATCTCTTTTTAAGTCCTACTTTTTAAACATGGAAATGGAGACTGAAAGGTAGGAAGCGACCATTGACACAAATAAAGGAAACGATGTAAAGCGTATAGAGCACAAAGAAGGAAAGGAAATACAAAGAAGAAAGAATGGAAGGAATTCGGACAAGAAATGAAGGTTGGATGAGACAAAATGAAGTAGGTCACAACGGAAGAAGAAGGGACAACCAAAAACAAAAGACAGAAGATGGGACCATAAGGAAGGGAGGAAATGAAGGAAAGGAAACTCAAAGAAACTGAAGAAGACAGGAACTGAACATAAAAACGTGAAAAATATCAGGAAAGACAAGAAGACACAACAAAAACAAAATGAATAAATGGGATAAAAAGAGGAAAATTTAAGAAATGGAAGAATGGCAGGACAAAAAAGGATGCCAGAAGGACAGTAAGGACTTGATGAACCTGAACCGAGGTTCAAAATGAGCCAAGAATACAAAATGTTGTATTCTATTTGTCTATACCTGCAAAAAAAACCACAAAAAAAATTCTAAACTTTTCTGTCAGTGAAGGAATCCTGGCTTTACAATCCATTTCATCCACAGAATATTTCACAGTCTTGGTAAATACACCTTAAAAACAGCTTACAGGTGAATGAAAGGTAAAAAATTACGACTGTGAACAAAAGAGAAGCTTGAATACTTAATGAAAAGAGACTTCAACTGGAATACCTCAATGAATTTATTGTTGCAGTTGAGTCAGTCCATGGTACAACGTTACAAACATCCGTCCACGTTCATGACACCGACATACAGAATAAGATACAAGTACAGATGTGTGTGTGTTGCATAGGCTTGGCGCTACACAAACAAGTGCCTGGTTAAAAATTGAAAAAGACAAGCTTTAAAAACAAACAAAACAAAAAAAAAAAAAACATAAAAAAAGGACACAAGATTGTAAAAAAACCCAAAAAACATACAGCACAATAAAACCACTGTATTAAAAAAAAATAAATGTCACATTAATTCACTCTATAAAATATTTTGGTCAAGCTCCCTGCTTTTTTGAGGAGCCAAAGGAATGTGATTGTCAGACTGTTGAGCAGTAACATTAATCAATTTAATGCCCTGACAAACCGTTCATGTACTAATCAAAGCTTGTGCCGCTCTGACGAGACGAGCAACACGACAACATGTCAGAGAAAAATTTCAAAAAATAATCACAGAATCTTTGTTGCGATTCTTTCATCTCCTGTTGCGGCGGAGACGTTCTCGTTGCAATCGTAAGGCGAGAGTTTCTACATAGTGGTAAATATCCTTAAACTGCGAACTCGGTACAATTGCTCGAGCAGAAGAGGCGTGGAAGAGATTACTGTGACAGACAGAATACAAAACTTGGTTTTCCGTACGTAGCACAGCTTCAAAGCAGCAAAGGCACCACGAGCATCTCACACAGGAATGTAGGAAGATTTTTTTTTATTATTTTTTTCACAGCACTGAGGTAACGGATTTCCCCCCTTAGAGACTTACTCTTTTTTTTTTTTTTTTTTACTCTCTTTGTCGCACTTAAACGTTTTAATATCAATGATAACCTGAGTACATTTTAAAAAACAGGAGTTTTCAAATGATGATTTATTTTGTTGAGGGGAAAAATTGGAAAATTACGTGTTTCCATAGGGACAAATGGGTTTGGGTAAGATTTTTTACTCCAAATGAAATAAAAAATAAAATCACTGTTTGGAAAATTCATCTTGTAACTTTATTTAGGTTATCTTTGTCTGATATTAAATTTGTCTTTTATGTAAGGAATTTAAGTGGGACAACAACAATAACAAAAATAGGAGAAACCAGTAAGGAGGCAAACCCTTTTCCCAGTGCTGTATAAAGTGATCAACAAAAGCCTTAAAAAAACAACAACAGCCAGATAGATAAACCACATTAAAACTTAAATTAAAATGACATAAAGGATAATATAAGTCATAATGGCCTTCTGAATATTCAGCACTCCTTTCACCTTTACAATTACCGTCTTGTAGGTGAAGAGTTTTCCATCGTAAATTAAAAATAAAAGCAAAAAATACCTTCTATGAGCATAGAGATGTTATACATGATACAATGATACTCAAAACGTCACATGTGCTAACTTATGTTACTCAGACCTTTCCTCTGCTATTGTTAAGACATAATTAATACAAGTGAAATCTGCTAAAATCTAGAAGTGCTTACATTTCTATCCTGAACAGGTGGCTGCTGAGTATAAATAGCGATGTGTGAAGCCGTCTCTTTAAATATAAATTAAAAAAAGAAAAAAACAGAAAACAATTAAGGAGAGATGGAAAGTGATCTGTAAGAGGAGGAGAGATCAGGTTTCACTCGTCTATTTGGAACGGGTGAACTTAAAAAGTGGAGGAATGTAAAAATCTGATTGGGAACTCATTCGGGTCTAAAATGTCCAAATTTCACAGCGTGTTTTTTTTTTTTTTTCTCTTTCCTCCTGTATTTTCATAACCTAACCCATCGTGCAAAAAGTACTACACTTGGCAAAAACGCAGGAGGAGTTTCAGCGTCATTCCTCGGAGGGATCTGGTCATTATTTGGTTCTTAGGGAAAAAAAAAAAAATTGTTCGAAAGGTAGAATCTTGGATTGTCGTGGTCCCCAGCGTCAGTGGCTCCTTTAAGACATTAGTGGCCCATACCTGGTGAAAGACACGATACAAGTCCATCAGTGGCAGACAGGTGTGGGTTAATGGCTGATCGTTGGACACGCGGGTCAAAGTAAATAAGAGCACAGCGAGGAGTCAACGTGCCATTCAGAGGGCAGAGTTACGCAAGCAAAGGCCTGAAAAAAGGAGTCATTCGGTCAAACTTCAGTGCGTGTTGCTGCGATTTTAAGTGGTAGACAGTTTAACCCATAACTTTGAAGTAGGAAGTTATGGGTATATGCATCTTTTAAATTTTTTTTACCAAGTAAAATCTGAAAAATGAGGCGTGGATTTATATCCAGAGCAAGGATTCCTCTTCTTAATGTGCTTTGATTTTTATTTTGATACATTTGGAACAGATTGTAGCCACATGTTGTCACAATCAATGCATGAGAAACATTACGCAAAAACTGCCCATCAACCTGAACACGATGCACAGGGATGTTTCATTTACACAAGTTATGCCACAGTTGTTTTCACCCCTAAAATCTGAAAACAGAAGTAAAATGTAGTCTAATTGCACCAGCTTTCAAAAATCAAACGCATCCAATTGGGTATACATTTACAGAATCTATCTTTTTAGACAAATGTTTCTCATAGTTAGCGAGGGCAAAAGTGTCTCTGAATTGAAAAGGTTGCTGACTCCTGGTATAGATCAATGCATTTTCACTTGTTAGAGTGGCCCAGTCAAAGTCTGGACCTAAATTCCAATGAGAATACATTCCAAGTCTTTAAAAACGATCCTTTGCATTGAATATGTCTGCGCTTTATTTTGAATAGTATCTAGATAGGCTAATATGACAGAAACACAATAAAAGTAGTTTTGCAAACTACTGTCTTGAGTGAGTGTGAATACAAACATAATTTTGTTTTTTTCCTAAATATGTGCTACTTTTTTAAATCGTGCACATGACACAGTAAGTACAAAATACACAGACGCTTGTGGGTGTCTGTGCATTTCATCATTTCCACATGATGAAATGTGAAAATGTTAAAAGGTTATCATCAGATATTATTAGATGAGCAACGCTAACCGCGACAAGCCAGCAATATTTTCAAAATGAACCATTTCAAGTAAAGCTTATTTTTCCACATATGCTGCCAACGTGTGCGTGTGTTTTGCAGCATCAAACGTCCACCAAGGTCCTGCAGCCAGCTCTGGGTGAGAAATGCGAAATCTGTACAAATCCTCTGTCATCCTCTAAGTCGGCCTGAAATGATGCACTAATCTGCAACATACCAGCCATTAATGTGACAAAACCGGCCTGGCAGGAGCTCCGCTTCTAACACTCATCGGGTCTAGAGCAGCAAAAGTGGAGCCGTGCGTGAGTGAAAAAGCTAAAAGGTTTGAGTGGCGTCACAATGGCTGCTGAGTGTGTTTATAGAAGCAGGAGGAAGGAGGGGAGCATGCATGTGTGTTGTCCCCCCGTGCACTGAACAAGCGGCACATTACATCGACACGTACAGAATCCATCAAGGCCAAAGTTCTCGCCTGTCTGACTGCCGGAGGTGGAGTGAAGGAGAGGAGAGAGCGAGGGGGCGGGGGGAAGAGGGACTGCGATCCAATTTTAAAATAGCAAGCAATGTTTAGGTGGCATCCTAAAAGGCTGTGGAGTCAAACAAATGGCACCCTGGAAAAAGACAGCAGGGAGGGCAGTGGTGTGGCCAGTTTTCGGTTTAAGGACACGGTGCTGTGTAAATCAGAAGTCTGTCGACAATTTAACACGTGTCGCAAAAAGGTCACGTCTCTAATCTTCACCTGAACATTCGAGGGGGAAAAAAAAAAATGGGAAAAGGTGGTACTTTTAAAAAAATGTCAATGCATTTTGCAACCCTCATTGGTTGGAGAGGGTAAAGTGACAGCTTGGGGAAAGAATAGGCCCACTCTGCAAATGCTCTTTACAAATCTGGTGCTCTCTGACCAGATCTGTCAGGTCTAAGGACTAAAATGTATTAGTTCTTTATGAGGCACGAAATTTTAGGCAATAGCGAAAAAGCTGCTCTAAATTTAACAGGAAAATTTAAACTTCTTTTATTTTGGGTGTTAACGTCCAGAAAAACTCCTTCAGATCCTCCCATAAATACTTTTTTGCTAAATGATTTATACAGTACATATTTTCACTGCCATTTAGGAACTAATATAAGCTACTTTTTTAACTTTCTGTAGCAGCAGATCAATTTCAACTGCATCATTTTTTCTTTCCTCTTGCAGAAAAATGCTAATGTTTTGCTAGCATCTCATTTTAGCAACAAATAAAACTCTATACTTATTTTATTTGGCTTATTTATATGCTTATATTCAACAAGAACATGCATATGCCATTTCAAACTCATATTAATCTGCACTACAAATTTTTTTAGCTAGCCATGCTGTAATGCTAATGATGGCAACTTCCAAAACAGCCATATAAATGATACAATTCTTGCTAAAAGCTCTTGCAAAAAGTAAAAATCCTTTAAAGAAACTATTAATTGTTTTGTTCAAAAATGCTTTAGGCTTGCAATAACGAGCTGACACTTGAATCGCCTACCTAAGACTCACCGTTAGCGACTGATTTGGTCTCTCCTCTGCCTGCCATCTGGAAAAATCACAACAAAATGAAGGTTATAAAGCAGCAAAGACATGGAAATTTAATTAAACATGACTACAAAAATACATCCACCTCTCCTGTCAAATCGTTTTTCCTTACATCACATTGTAAGCTAACGATGAGCTCGCTAACCACTACCTTGCTTCCCCACAGCACAGGACCAGAACCACAGAACTCATTACAGCAGACGGGTCTGCTGTTGCCCAAGTATGAAAAACTGACCGAGACACTTTGCAGAATATCCTTCACTCACTCACTCTCACACACACACACACACACACACACACACACACACACACACACACACACACACACACACACACACACACACACACACACACACACACACACACACACACACACACACACACTTTTCTTTCTGCAGGAAAAATGTTTCGTATAAAATGCTGTGAAGTATTTGCAGTCTTACAGATTCTTTTTCACTCAAATGTTTCAGATCATGGTAGAAGGAAGTCTGTAAGGGTGCAAATAAAAAAAAAAAAAAAAAAACATTTCACCAACTTTCTCAACAAAACATTCAGTGAAGCTGAGCGTAGAGCTGTGATTTGTGGCCAACAGAAGCTGGAGCAGTGTGACGTGACAAAGCCACCCATGAAAAGTGTCAACACCCAGCGTTTGGACACCAGGGCGATCTGGACCGGCATAAATCTGCTCCGTTACGGGTGTTAAGATGACCGGACTTGGGCCTGATTTATACGTTTGTCTTTTCCAATGAGCCCGACTCTTGTTTATTGCTCTAAATTCCAATCAAGCCCGTAATAAATATCTGAAACTCATGGGCGCCTTATTGTTACGACAACTATAATAAGCAGTAGTGTCCAAACAAAGCAGAACAGAATGCAGCTGTGTCCATGTCAAGAGAGCAAAACAGCGTAGCAGCAGAGCGTGGGGGTCATTCTGGGACAGGCGTGTAGAGAAAACGCAGATTAATTACTCCTTTACCTCTCCAGGCTTATTCCAGATTGAATGCCGAGGTCAACTAGCTGTGAGAGTTCTTTAAAACAAAAACAAACATGAGTGATTGTTACTTCCATTCCCGTGATGGCGGGGTCAAAATAACGTGAGATTCCGGCCTCTTCCCCTCCGCCTCCTCTTTAGAGAAACATTCTCTTGAGTAGCAACAACTGGACACCGAGGACAAGCCTGGAAAGCTTTCCGAGACCACAAACCACTTCATGGCATAGCTAAGACTTCATCTGGATGTTGTAATGCTCAGCTAGACTTATTTTTCTCCCCCCTCTCCCTCCCTTCCCCTTTTCCGATCTGGTCCTCTAATCACCCGGCTCATGTTAGAAGAAGACACAGAGTGAGCGGAGATCAATAGGAGCTACCTTTGTCGGAGTGGCGCCTTTGTTTTCCCATAGACTCCTCTTGTTGGTGACATCAACGGGTTTCAGGTCCTGTCGGAGCGAATCGGAGAACAAAAGGCAGAGACAGAGCGATTTATCTGTGGCGCTCGGCAACTGTAGATCTGTTTGATTTAGACTGAAGCAACAGGGCACAGATAGCTGGGAGAGTGAGGAGGAAGGGAAAGCTGGAGGACTGTTTGTTTGTTCAGAGGAAGTGGAAAAACGGAAACCTCATTCCAAACCCAACACGTCTTACTTGAATCTGCTGAGAGGCTCGATCTCTGTTCTCGGTTTTAGATCAAGATATTTAAGTGTACTACGATATGAAACTAGAAAAGAAAATACTTTGTAACATGTTGCATTTTCAGACCATGAAGCAAATTCTAATAACCAACAAAGGAAATAGCCAGTATTTCATTTTGCCCAATATTTTTTGCAGAACTGTTTATTTCAGCCACACTGATGGTTTTTGGATTGGATGGACGATTAATCAACCGTGAGGTAATCACAGATAACTCCGAATTTAACAAAAGGGGCAATTTTTTCAAATTTGTTCAACTTGCTTTCCAAATCTTCTTCTCTCAATACATAAAATCAGCCTTTCTTTTTGTTCTGCTACATCTTAGTGGGACAAAAAAACAGAAAGAGAAGAAGTCTGGAAGGGGTCGTTTAATTTTTCCCAGTGTGTTTAACAACAAGCCGTATAATGTAAAAATGAAAAACTGATACTTTTAAAACTGCATGACAGAGTGCACCAAACTGCTGTCGACAATTTCCATCTGTATGTTGAAATTACAACTATATCTGTGGCCACCAGGTGGCGCCAACTAGATGACAAGACGACCTGGTTTCTGCTCCCTGAAACAAAGTCTGTCCTGCAGAGAAGAGGGGAGAGCCAGAAACTTTTTATTGAAAGGGATTAGATGTTGCAAGACGAAAGCTCTCTTGCAAATCTCTTGCAAAACAAGATGGAAAAAAAAGGGATTGACAAAAAAAAAGAAGAAAAAAAAAAAAAAAAAAAGAGAAACTCGATTAAAATCTTTGCTATAAAATGTAACTGATGCGAGAAACTAGAGTGTCCCTTGTGAATGAATATGTGAGTTGTCATAACGCAGGGAGCTGATTAGGACGTTTCTCTCTTAATATAAATTTCGCGGTTTATAAAGCGCCTCTGAAGCAGAATATTTCCTGGCAGTGACCTACCGTTGGCCTTCCTCCTGACGTCTTGCCGCTCTCTGGGGTTTTATTCAGCCAGTCGTTGATGCGGCCTGCCACGCCCGTCTTTATAACAGCTGCTTCCTGTTTGAGCAAGGTCAAAGGTCAGGCAAGCTTGCAGTAATCACGAGCTGTTCAACCGTATTCACACGCCTTCAACTTAGCTTTTTGTCATGTTACAAATGCAAGTTTGACAGACAGGGGAGTGAAATTAATTTATCCAGCTGGCGCTTAGTCATGAAGCAAAATGCAATGTTTGGTGGAAAGAAAAAAACACTGAACAACACCCTGAACACACATATTGTACTTCCTTCGAGAACAGGAAACAGATTTACATATCTGATAGAGTAATATTCCATACATTGTTTAGCAGCACCAAAAGCTGCTTCTATAAAGTGTTGATACATGGAAACTCAGGAATAATTTTGCACCTGCTTTCTCCAGGCTTTCAATTGAGGTGAATAAAAGTAAAACATTCATTGGTAATAAACTCTATACATCCATTTGTAGTTTTCTTTCTTTTACCTTAAAAGTGCTCCCAGCACTTCCGGGTGAGCTGAACACATTCCCTTTCTCCCACATGCTCTTAATGTTTCGTACGTCAGTGACCATGGGAAGATCCAACACGGTGGAGCGAGGGGATTTGGACTCCTTGTTCTCTCGCTGTGAATACGACCGTGTTAAACAGGGATGGCAGCTGTAGTTGTGGCTGAATCATGTTTTATTAAAAAAAAAAAAAAAGATTTCGTAGCCACCCAGTGCTATTTTGTTCCTGTAAGTAATGAATAAATAGCCTTAAATAACTGACCTGAGCAGCTGAGGTGTACTGCTCCAGCCGGTTGTCTATCTTGGACACCACAGGAGAATGAGACGCCTTCACAGAGCTGCAGAGACGATATACCTTCACATTAATAGACATTTCAGATCAAGCTAATTTTAATATCAAATAAAAATAACCAAAAGGCAATTTTTAGATGAAGTTCTACCTCTTCTGTGCTGACTTGTTCAGAAATTCTGCTCTTTCTCCAATCTGGAAAACAAGATCCAAACAAGTCAGAAATATTGCTTTTGCACCTATTCTCTACTAATTGTGAATGAAAGATTTTTCTCACATGAACATTGAAGAGCAATCTAAAATCCAAAACTTGATTGAACTCATCAGAAAAGTCTCTCATTGTTCCCTCTGTGTGCAAAAGTTGCTCTCCAAACAAGCACACACATGCAGAAAACACAAGACAAACAGAGCAGGCTCTTTCCCTTCCCTGCTGCAGAACTGTGGGAATCTCAGAGGGTTGTTTATGATATACACAACATGAAGACTTAAAGAGGGGGCCGCATTCCTTAGTCACAACATTCTGTAGATGGACAAAACGACAAATGCTCAGAAAAAGCTCTAGTTTTCCCCTTCTTTTTCTATTCCCCCCTCAGTGAAAACAGACCTTTTGCTCAGCTGCTACCGAATGTTGAAGTTCCAAAAATAGTCTCCCAACAGGAAATTCCCCATTCTCAGACGCGTTTATTTTTCTATTTTTTCTTAAAGAGCTGCATCCACCCGAACGCGGTTAAAGTAATCCTGTTAACCCTAATCGCTTTCCTGCACATCCCTGCAGCCTGTCCTTCATTTGGCCTGCTGTTCTTCTCTGCTTTATCTACAACACCAACCAGGGTTATGCTGGTTGACGGCTGATAACTGAAATGCGAGCACTTGGAGATGTGGGTTGCACTGTGAGCTTTTTCCAAGCAATGAGTCATAATTATCTAAGCTTTTAATGTAACAGGATGCATACAAATTGCAGTTGTCAACAACAACAACACAAAAAAATCGTGTACAGGAAAAAAAAATAAAAAAATGGGGGGGGAAGTGTATATTCTCAATTGCATGCTTGTATTTTTTGAAATCTGAAATAGGCTTTTGACAGGTCTCACTGAGGCATGAAATTCACTCAGCACATAAATTGAGCAGGAAATTGCTCAATTTCTGGATGGAATACAAAATAAACAAAAAAAAAAAAGCCAATATATCTCAGCTTGTGCAATTTTACATGGTACAACCGCAGCTAGATGAAATTGATTCAACTCTTTTTAATACAATACCTCTACTTATAGGACTGGTACACCCAGAAGAGAAAACAAGACATCACAAAGATTATAAAAAGCATAAAAGCTGCATTAGTCAGTCTTTACACATTACTGGAGCTGTTTTAGCCACACTGCTAACTCTCTGGTTGTTTCTTCCCTGGCTAGCTCCTTAACACGAATGTCAGCAACCATGTCACAACTGAACTGTTTTGGTTTTGTTGTTGAATTTCCCACACAAGCTCCTCATAGTAAGACAGAAAAACAACATATTAAGTTTCTCTTTTTAGCTGGCTAGGTAGCCGACTAGCTAGCTAGCTAGAGTAAATAGCTGGCTTTTGTTAGCTTGCTGTCCAGCTAAGCTACCTAGCTGCCACTGAGGGAAGGTACAGCTTGTGGATCTGTTTACCATTCATAATCTTAAAAGTAAAGGACACTGCGATCAAATTTATGTCTCAATTTTTTTAAGGCGCCAACAACTGTACTCCTTTTTTTTATTCCAAAAGATATTTGTTTGCCTGTCATTAAACAAAAATATTTCAGTTAAAACGCCTGTTTCCGATGCCACGGCTGTGGTATGCAACAGCACTAACATTATATTTAAGAAGAAGAAGAAGAAGCCCCTCGGCTAAAACTGGATTCATTTTTTGAAAGCCTTGTAGTAAAGTTGCAGGAATAAACTTTTCATTAGCCGTTCTGATGGTTAGAACTGTTTATTTTCAATACGTTGAAAATGACAGTGACAATGTCTCGCTCTATTCACATTTCTGTGATGTCTAAAATTAACCGTATAGAAGTTTAAAATGCTCGAAGCAATCATTTCTAAGTGCAGTTGTGTAAAAATGCACACATTTCAACAAAATCACAACCTTCATTTCCTTCATTAGCAATCTTGTATGACATGCAAACACACATGCATAAAGACACCCCCCACTCCTCATGCACAACAGTACCTACAGTGAACATGATGACAAAGTAAGGCTGTGTCTGAAAGGTGAAGAATTGAAATTTATTTACAACCCGGCGACATTCAGGACTCCGGTGTGATCAGAGCTCACCATCAGAGCCTTCATTTAGCCTGGGGGTCTCTCTGGGCCAGCACCATATTACTGCTAAATGTCCCTAATTAGATTTTCTCCACACGCTGAAAATCCCCCAAGATTTTCAGCGTGTGGGAGTTGACTTCTGGCAACACTGGAGACGTTTATTCACATTTAAGTTATTTAAACCTTCCTTATCTGTAGCAGTTTTATGAAGAAAAAAGGAAGTGCAGGACACAGAATGGTGACCTTTTTTCCCCCCCGTGTTTATTTGGGATAAAAAGGATAAGATATCTGCAGCCTTTTAAAGAGTCACGGAACCTCTCTTCATTTGTGTGTAACGCTTGATCTTAGTGAGATAACTCTTCATAAATAAGACCTGAAGAAGATGAGAGGTGCAGTGAAGTCTTAATCTTTTAAGATTTTGGATAATGAGTCGAAGCTTTGATGAGTGAGATTTTAGGCAAAAGACGCAATGTTAATTTACTTGTGAAAATCGACCGATAACTTTCTGTTCACTATAGTCAATTTTTTGGTTACAATCAAAAAAAGAACTAACCCTTTTTGATTTTAACCAAAAAGGGTTAGTTCTTGTCCCCGAGATGATGTGAGCATAAGAAAAAGAAAAAAAACCACAAAAAAAAAAAAACCCAACAACAAACCATTTAGGAGCCGACACCTGAGCTGTACATTTGTATCAAGAGGCTTGAGCCTGAAAAGTGCAGCCTGTGTCCAAGGATTAAAAATGAAAGTGTCTCACTTTTGGCCACCAGGGGCACTGTTTCAATAATGGCTTAGGATCTTTGGCATGTACAAAATTAATAAAAGTTTGAAGACATTACAAAACAACTTGAACTCAGAGTAAGTGTTTGTTGTGAATTTTGTTCTAAAATGCTTCCCAACACCTAGTTTCGACCTGCTGCAAAAGGAAAAACTGTTTTATATCCGACCAGAAATCACAATTTCACTTTAATATGGCACCAACAACTAAATAAAAGATCCCAGGACAAATTTTTAATTGCAGCATTTCAAAATCTTCATGTTTTTCGCCTTGCTTGGCTTCATAGTAACAAGTGTCATCATTATTCATGAAGGAATGAGCCTGTAGTCTGAATGCAGGGTAATTAGACCATGCTCACACTCGATTAGACTGTAATATGATGGTATTTCCCCTGCAGGTTAACAACATACCGTGAGAATCTTGTACCGGTCCGTTCCTAATGGAGACAGATTTAGAAGCCAAAAAAAAAAAAAAAAAAAAAAAAAAGCAACAAAGTTTTAGATTTAAAGATAAATTTCTGCCCTCCCCCTCCCTAGTTTTCTTTACTTTAACCAGATCGGTTTGGTGGTTGGAGGACTTTTACTCCTGAATTCTCCATCATGGAATGAGAAGTTTGAAAGAATGGAGCTGATTTACAAAGAATAATTAATGTGAGCTTGAAGTGACAGCTTGGTGATGTTACCTTGAGAGAAGAGCCTCGAGGACTAACGCACTTGAATGGTTTCCCCTCCCCGTCCACAGTGTCGTCCACCTTCTGCCTCTTCTCCGCAGCCTCGGCCCGTCTTCTTTCAATCTCCTCTTTCATCTTCCTCTTCTCCTCCTGCGGCAGACAGACAGGTAGGCTTGATCGAGGCTTTGCTTTTACATTCATTTTGTTATTGCTGAAGCTGCTGGACACTGTTGAACCTGCAATCCACTAAGGCTCTTCATACTTCAGACTTGTAGGAGAGGAAAGGCTCCAGATTTTTTCTGTTTCTTCATTTTATTTTATTTTATTTTTTTGTCTTTTTGTCCGTTGTAAGTGATTATTTAATTTATTTTGGGAAGTAATCTTTCAAAACCAATCCCAAATTTACAGATGATTGCTTCCAGCATTGTTATATTTCTAAAGAAATATAACAATGCTTTAGAAACAAAGTCATAAACATCTATCAGTCTGGGAAATGATGCCAGGCCATTTCTAAGGCTTTGGGGCTTCAGTGAACCACAGTAAGAGCTATTATCTACAAATGGAGAAAACGTGGAGCGGTGTCTAACCGTCCCACGAGTGGCCGATCTACCAAACGTTCTCGCTGAGCCAATCAAATTCTCACCCAGGAGGTCGCAAAGGAACCCAAAACAACTGAAGACCTCTAGAAAGTGTAAGGGTCAGTGTGAAACAGCAAGAAACTGGGCAAAAATACCCTCAGTGGGAGCGTTTCAACGCCAGAGGCAACACTGACTAAAGCGCCAGCCTCAAAGACTTCTGGGAAATCATTTTGAGAACTTACGAGACAGAAGAGGAAGTTTCAAAAAGGTGAGAATCCCTTCATATCTACCACAAAAGATCAATTCAGAAAAACGAACAACATACTGCTAGTCCAACATGGTGGTGGCTGTATCATGATGTGGGACTTTTAATGTAATTAATGGAACTAAGAATTCTACTCTCTCTACCAAGTCTGAATCTGAATGACTCAAATTTAAAAGAGCAACAAAATGAGATTCAAGAATGGTCTAGTCAAAGTCTAGATGAAAATCTGATTGAGATGCTTTGGTATGACCTTAGGCAGGCCAATCACGCAAAAGAAAAAACAAATAATAAAAGTAGGCTCAAACAACAGGTTTATGTTTTCTCATAGGGCCAGGTTATTTGAATACATTTTACCAAAGTAAATGTTTGAAAAAATGATTTTGGATGAATTTTGTTGTGTGATGAAAAAGCAAAAACAAAACTAAGCTGGAAATGCATTTTAAACTTATATTGTTGAAATATATTCATATCCCAGGACTGTGCAAGGAAAATGAAACAATGTGTCAGACAATCAGGGCCAGCAGAACCAATTAAAGGCGAATCAAACCAATTTAGTTCATCAACTCCAGCAGGTTACGAACCTGCTAAACCCCTCAGAAGATATTCTTATTTACAGTTTGTCTCCTCTGTCTGACAACGGCCCATTTTGGACAACAACTCAACAAACTGCTACAAAAACCAATTAGCGTATGAGGCGTTTGTAGTAAATTCAGACAATGGCTGGTGCTTGGCAGAGTGTCAAACGCTCTCCAGCTTCCTTGTCTTGGTTAATTAGTCTCTCTGTATCTCTGGGCCATCTTTTAATTACTAACCAAAAGGCCTCATTAACATCACACAAGAGGAAGAGAGCGGGGGCTGATGGCGAGAGACGGGCCGCCACGTTTGGTGCCAAGATCAACAAAGACGACCCGGCCCGGGTGACAGGGAGACCACGGGGGCCCTCGGGGCGCGCGGGTTGAAGGAAAAGCGACGACACCTCCGTTTAGGCGAACATGACAACACAAAGGAAGATTCATAGAAAGACTTCGGGGTGAGGCTGTTTATGAGGGGAAGAGGAAAGAGCGACAGACGGCGGGTTAAGAGTTACAAATAGGGCGAGGACTTCAGTGTGAAGTCTGGCATCGTTGAGAAAGAAAAAGGTGAAAGCGCCGCCGGTGACGTTTTACCTCCTCTCTGGCTTTCCGTTCCGCCTCCTCCTGCTTCCGTTGCCTCTCCTCCTCCTCCAGAATCTTCCTCCTGTCCTCCCGTTTCCTCTTCAGCTCCTCCAGCTCGGCTTCGGCCTCCTGCTGCTTCTGCCTCATTCTCTCGAACTCCTCGCTCTCTGCGTCATCGCGCCGGCGCTTCAGCTCCTCCAGCTTGCGCTCTGCCTCCAGGCGGGCGTCGTCGTCCTGCTCGTCGCCGGCGGACACCTCGGGGGAACGGACGCTGCCGCGGCTGAGGCGGACACGAAAACACCGACTAGGGTTACCCGCTTGACATTTGATCTGAGCTTAATATTTAAACACAGACACTGAGGGATTTGCTCTCTGAGAACATAAAAATACACACAGTACTGCTTTGCAAAGCAAAGCTGGGGCTTGCGAAAAGTTTCTGGCTAAAGTCGCAAAGCCGATTGAGTCGTTCCCCCAGCAGCAGGAATGCTGACTAATATACAATGGGGAACTAGATTTTTTTTTTTGGAATTATGAGAGTAAAGTCATGCTGGCAGAATAAAGTCGTAAAATTACAAGAAACAAAGATTTGTGACTTGCTCATCAAGTCCGTGACTCTTTCTTCAAAACATGCAATCGTTTTAAAGTCCTGCTGCTGATAATAATTTGTGTTTAAAGATTAAAACACGTTTAATAAAGTATCACCTCACAACATGCTCTATATTCCTCATTTTAATTTAGTTATTTTTGGTGTGGAAGTTATAAAATTACTATTTCATTCTACTGATCCTTATGACTTCATTCTGGTAATATTGTGACTTTACGCTGGTAATAAAACTCATTTCATTTCAATATGACTTTCCTTTCATCATCACATCTACTCTTGCACTGTGACCTTTTGTTGTACAATTTTAATTTCAGAATACCACTACCATATTATCATGATATTATGATTTCGAGTACAACTTTTCTCTCACAATTCTTGTGATATGACTTTATTCTGAATACTAATACTGTTTTATTAATAAAATGCCACACTTCCCACACATTTATGTGCAAGTAATGTATTTAGGCAGATAGTCAATGAGGAACAACTCAGCAGATGGTTGGAAGTAAAAAAAAACAAAAAACGTCTGAATGGATGAATGAACTTATGAATGGAAGTATGGTTGGATGGCCAGTCGGAAAAATGGATGGAGAGATGACCAGATAGATTAGCGTTTCTCAACGGGCGTTCAAAGGACAGCAGGGGGCGCTGGCAGAAATTTTTACAAAAGGGGAGCGTTTGCTCGAAGGTAAACTTTACACCTTAAATGCACAACAATACCAGTTTAGACTTTGAGCAACTTGTTAAAATTGTATTGTGCAACATTAAAACATGCTTGGCTACAACAGTATTGATCTCTTCAGTGTTTCTGTTTGCCTCTCCTGCTACTGGTAGCTTCACTGCATCAGTTCAACTTTACACCGGCTGATGATTCACTTGTCTGGTGTCTCATTTTCAAATATTTTATGTTTTCTTGAGGGTTCAAAGCAGCAACTTGTATTAAAAAGTGTTTTATTGTCTGGATGCTGCCTGCTTCCATTGTCCCTCTTATAAATGTGACATATGAAGGATGTTTATGTCACACGGGTGTTAAAAACCTAACTAATTTTGAGACACTGGAAGGTAAGTTTCATAAAGAAACATTTTATTCATTGTGAAGTCTTCACAAATCGTCCCAAAATGGCTAATTAACCCAGTTTCAACATAGTGAAAAGTTCAGAAATCTTTAACTGTAGCCTCGGCATGAGAAGCAGACAGTGATGCAGCAGCTGCATACCTGAGGGTCCTCTCAGGTTTCCTGTGCTGTTTGGAAGCCGCCTCATCATGCAGTCCTCCGTTATGCTTCCTCTGATCCTCCTCAGATTCTTCCCTCTCGTTCACCTGCCGCCACACACACACATACACACACACGCGCACGCACGCAAACGACAACAGTGACGGTGAGGGCCTGAGGTTAAAAAAGGGGTGGAGACGCAGAAGGAAGGGGCGGGGGGTCGTGGTACACGGTGAGCAAAATCCAAATAAAACGTGAGTGAAACGTGACGAGTTGTCGATGTGGAAGAGTTGCAGAAGGAACACAGTGACCACCACTCTGTGGAGCGTAACAGAGATGCCTCTGTTACGGTGCGGATCATGTCACAGACACGAGGTGCTCGGGTAATTTCAGCGTCCTGCTCGGTTAATCACACCACATTTTTTTTCTTTTTTTTGCCCTTTACTGAACTCCTTAAGAAGTTTGATTATGACGCTGAAGTTACCCAGAAAGATCTTTCGTTTGAAGCAGTGCAGCACACCTATACTGGAGTTCTTACCGCATGTATGACACCTCATTATCCTCTGATTGCTGTATCTCAGATAACTCAAAGTCCTCTTCAATGTCATTTAGTAATAAACTCTTGCTCTCTGTTGGGATATCTACATAATCATCCTCAGGTACCTCTTCAGCCTCCCCTGATGCTACTGAATCCTCCTCAGCCTCGGAGTTTGCTGACTTGGCCTGACTTGAACTCTCACTGACTACCGAATGGTTTTCGTCTTCAATGAGATCCTAAGAAAAGGTATTACAGCAGTTCTTTGAAGCACAGATCTGGGATTCGCTCAAGGATTTGTGCTAAGAAAAAAAAAAGAAAAGAAATCTCCAAGGGACTTGGCTGGCATACCTTGTGTTGCATTACAGTCTCCTCTGCTGATGCCTGCAGAGACAAGCATCGTGTTTGCAGGTATTTGCCAGCAGAACGTCATTTAACCCCCGAAATTGTCTGCATTGTTCACGCATTTCAATGTGTTTTATTGGGATTTTATATGACAGATGCACACGATCTAAAAATAAAACCTGACAAACCTTAATTTGGCACTTTGAAATAGAGCCAATTCCATCAGTTGTCTACAAGATTTACAATCAATCTTTTCTTCAGCAGAGTTAAAAAGTCCTTGAGTTTCACAATTATGCGCAACTATCACATAAAATCACCATAAAATATGTTGTAATGTTAAATAGTTGGTGTTAATACCTGAAAACATTAACAATGATTGAAGAGAGGTGAACATGACTGACCTGTTCTCTCAGATTAGACCTTGGTTTGGTTTCCACAACTTCAACTTTCTCCTTCTCCTCCTCCTCCTCCTCTGCTTCTTCCTCCTCTCTCTCAGGAGCAGGATCCTCTTCGTCCTCTCTCGGTTCTTCTCGCTCTTTTTCCTCCCGCCTCGAGCTGCTGCTCTCAGTCTTCTCCTCGTCCTCCACGGTGTCACGGTAACAGCGTCTGCGCCAGGAGGGCCGTTCCTCCTCTGTGCTGTTCTTCTCCGGGCCGACGCCGTCGCCGGCGGGCTCCAGTTGCTTCTGCCTCTCCAGCGCCTCCTTCATGCGCCTTTGCCGCCTCTCCTCGCGCTTGGCCATGCGCTCCTGCAAGGCCTGCTCCTCGTCGTCCCCGCTGCCGCCGTAGGAGCTGCTCACAGAGACGGACTCTGTCACGCTACGAGGACAGGAAGAGGACAAACCGTCTCACTGCGGGGATCCTTGCACTCGGTCAGAAAAGGCGCCGGCTGTTCAGACTACATGTCCAGCCAGAGTTTATAGGACACTTAACAGTTTTTGCAATTTTTTCTGTTAGTTTATTAAGTTATTTATGAAGATCACATTTCAGATACGCTATATTCAGTATTTCAAGGATCAAAAGCAAATTAATGTGCTAATAAAGGAGATCTGGAGAAACTAAACAAAACCACATAAAGCACATCAAAATACTGAATCACAACATTCTTAGCACAGCCGGCGAATAATGCAAAGTGAATGAAAATATTTTTTATTGCACACTGTTTACAATTTCCTCTGAGACCTTCAAAAGGTCAAAATCAAACAGTTATGGGGTCAGGGCAAATCTGATAAGGTGCACAAAAATAGAGAGTAAATAGTTTGTTGAGTTTTTGTGGTGTGGTCTGTTATGTAAAAATTAGCAATGAAAGAAGTTTGAAAAGGTTTTCCTGTTATATCACTGATGCACAAATGCAAATTCTTTTTGCCATTTTTGTTATTATTCTTTTATAATCGTGTTTTTAAAATTAGTTAGGTTTTTAACACTAAGATGGACGGTGATGGAAATCAAGATTTGCATCAGTATTTGGCTTTTATAATTATTAATTATGAATCCGTTCCAAGATTGCTATTCCGAAGTAAAACCAGACTTGTGGCAAGACGGATTAAATTGTAGTGTTCAGTGAGTAAACATGGAAATATGGACAGTATTCAATTAAACAGCAACTATAAGCATTTATAATATATAAGATAAATAATTAATGGTGCTAATGATTAAGCTCAAACTTTTTTAAGGTTTCAAATGAATTTCTGAATGCAAACCCTGCTCTGGTTAGCGCTTAGCTTCACTCCCCGATGGGAATAGGATTTTATTTTTTTCCAGACTGAGACTGCTGTCACTGCAGGTAGAGCACAATAAATCACTACTTTACATTTACACACCTACGTCCAAAACAAATATCTACATCCGCATTATCAATCTTATGCCAACACACAAACAGACCGTCTGAAAGTGTATATCCTCCAACCTCGCTTAAAGCAGCGTGACTCAAACTGCTCTGACCTAAAACGTCTGGCAAACATTATCGCTCACTGCAAACAATCAACAGTGGTTTATTGCTTGGTCGCGTCTCCGCGTCCTCAGGCACAATCCCCCCGTTGTTTGACCAGCCCAGGATGTATCTCCAAGCCCAAAGGGAGGAAACATTTATGACCACAAAGCGACGTTTGTATTTCTGGATGTCGGCTCTTCCCACCACTTCCACTGTTGCAAAGACAATTCGTCAAACAACCAAAGCAACGCAATTTTTTTTTTTTTTTGCTCTTCGGCCATTTTCTGGATGAGGTCATGCATTACTGAAATACAAAGCATGCATTTTCTTTTTCCTAGAAAGGAAGTCCTCCCAATTTTCTGCTTGCTTTAGTCACTGTCTATGTCATCGACATCTCATTTGAGATGAAGAAGCACCATTTATTCAGCTACACTAGCTGAACTCTGTACCAGTGGGAAACTTCACAGCAAGTGCCCCCGCTGAGGGAGAGTTGAACCGTTCGTTATAATTTGTATTTTCGTTTCCAGCTCGAATTTACTAAGAAGTTCAGACAGCTGCTGTTCAGTGCGAGCGTCACCTGTGGCTGTTGGTCATGACAGCGCCGTCCGGCTGGCTGCTGGGCTCCTCGCTCTCCCGGTTCCTCAGCCTCTCCTGACGCGCCCTGCGCCTTCTCTCCCGGGCGGCCTCTTCCTCGTCGTCATCGTTCCTGAGCATGCTGAGGGGAGTGAGAAGGAGAAAAGCCAAGTGAGAGGACGAAAGGACATTTTATTTTTTGCGTCTTTCCCCCCCTCCCTCTTAAGCCAACTTTCAACCCTTACTCAATTAAACCTCCAAGTCAGAAACTTCAAAGTGAATGATTCTTTAAATTGGACTGTAATCACCACAGTGACCAGAGCTGATGGATTTGCTTCGGGGGTTTTTTTTTTCCCCCCCTCACACTCTCAGCCCAACTCCTTTTCTCTTATCACGCTGACCTGTCAGCTGTGAGACATCTAATACTTCTTATCAAGGCTGAGGTTTTCACGAGCTGATAAAAAGTCAGCCTGAGACCTAGCTTGGCTGCGGATAAGACAGAGCCATGAAAACGTTTTGGGATTGTCCAGATCTGGCCTAAATTATAAGTGATCTTAACAGTTAATTCTTGGAGAAACACATTAAAACCAGGAATCGAGATTTTCGAACAAAATTAAAGGAAAAGTTGAAATAAAATTAGGTGAAAAGTTGTTCTTTTGTGCTGACATGACGGGAATGAGCCATTAACTATAGACATCTGTGTGTCAAAGGGACATTAATTCAATTAATTGTATATTTTTGCAAGGGATGCAATTATCTGCATGCTAAAAGCATCACATTATTTAATCTTTACTTGAACTGGAATGGTGAGCCTGGTATTCAAAAGAAATACTGTGGTTTTCATCCAGGCCATGGAAAACTGAACCACCTCCACACCCTTAGTAGGATCTTAAAGGTGCATGGGAGTTCACCCAACCAGTTCACATGTGTTTTATGGACTTGGAGACCCCTTTGTACGGGCTGTTAGGTTCCAGTCTGACCGCTGTCAGAACTTGGTCCACATTGACGGCAGTAAGTCGGACTTGTAGTGGTTCAGGCATCTAGTTAGGATCACTCCCGGGTAACGTGTTCAAGAAAAAAACAGCCAATCCTCCCGGAACAACTTCCACACCGAGGAGTTTTGCATGACGTAGTAGCTCTTAGATATGCTGAATTCACTAATTAAAAAAAATAAAAATCTTATTTTTGGATTTATGATCAGCTGACTACCGGAAAACAAAAAAATAAAGTAAATTCTGATCACGAGTTGATGTCTTGGTGCGTCTTTAACTTAAAACAAAGCTTCAGTTGTACTTTTTTTCTTGAAACTTAAACATGAAACTGTTAATTTTGAAAAAAGGTGGGGAAAAAAAAAATCTGTTTTCCACTCTTAGATGGTTTTTTAAAATTGTATCTTGAATTTCTCCACATTTCACACAGTTTTTCTAAACAGGTGTGGCGATTAAGTGGAGGGAAGTGCGGGCAATAAAAATAAAAGGCATTTTACTGCTTCAAATAACAAAAAACCCCAAAAACAAAACAAACAACAGCTCAAAAAGCTGCAGTTGATTTTCCACCTGGAGGTTTCTGGTCAAGCCTCCAGCAGATGGGATTACGGCCAGAGCAGGTTGTGTCTCATACATGGGCAAACATCTGGTTTTTGAATTCGGTTTTACAACCTTCTTGCTCTAGTTACTATAATGCCCAGACATTACCAAGGATGTACTGTTGTAAAAGGGAAAAAAAAAGAAAAAAAAAAGGCAAAGAACCACACTGTGATTACATCTATTTAATGCCCTGCATCAACAAGACATCATAAAAAGGTAATAAAAAGTTCACAGTCTATTTCCCTTTAAAGCAACTTTAAATGTAACTTAGATGTGGTGAAAAGCAACAAGTCTAGGCCTTCCTCTGGGGCCAGAGTCAGGTTGGGGAATGCAGGAAGGTGCAACTGAACGTGATACAATAAACAGTTTACATGGAAGATGCTGCGATTCCAAGAACATCTGATACCAAACTACCTCTTAAAAATGGACGCACGACATCAAAGTCATCATTTTGGTAGGTTTTTTCCCCTTTAAACTTTAGGACTTCTGGTAGAAGTCGGGTTGCTTGGGCCACCTCACATTTATGAACAGAGTTCCACGCTTCGTCGCCGTTGCCCTGGCTGACCTTTACACTCCCACCACTAACCACATGCCCCGGCTACCTCAGACCACAGTGCAGCTTCTTGAGGTCAGCCAGCGAAGCATGCCTCTGCATGTTAATTGCAACATGTGTGGTGAGCGGAGCCAAAGCTGCCCTGGTTTATGCAAAGTTTTACAGCTTGTGAACAACTTTTCCCTTCATTTCGCCCCATTCAGCTGCTTCCCGTCTCTCTGGCTCTGGCTCCAATTTTGCTCCCACATGGACCGTGTTGTCATAACAGCGCCGATAAATCTGCTGACGCCCATGCATGGCCTATGGGACGTGATGTCAGGCAGCGGTTACGTGTGCGATTCCTTAAATCAGGGAACTTTGGGATAGGAATTGACATAATTAAAAGAGTTGCCGGAAGTTAAAGAAAAAAAAAACAAAAAGCTAAATTTGTCATTCTTTCGATCTCTGACGGTGTTTGAGCTGATATGCCAGGTTCAGGTTTTTGTTGTGTTAATACACATCTGTATCCCTTAGCCCAACAATCTGGGAACAATCTTTTTAACCAGCGCAGAAGTGACTTGAAATAACCTGGAAACAGCCCGACATTCTTCTCATATTGGTGGGGAGTAACGCTTGCTTCTCTGAGGTCAGTTCTGATGTCTTTCCACCTTCACATTGTACTAACAAGTATTTATGCTTCAGATCAGCTGACTAAGAATACCATTTTCCCCTGCAGGAAGACAAGAGTTCAACTGTTTGGTAAATGGATTTATAATCTATTCCCAGACTGACAGGCAGCAGCAGTTGCATCTTTGAGGCTACTGCTGATGTCTTCCTGCTTTGGCATTGTATTTACACAGAGGAATCCTTCATTTCAATACTGATTAGCAAGCTTCCAAAATATGGTCACACTTCTGTTGAGCAATAAATCAAGTGCAATTGATCAGCAGCTCCTGGATGTTTCTTTTTTCTCTTGAATCCAAAAGAAGTAAGCCTAAGCTTACTTCTTTTACCCCCCCCATGATTGTAAGGAAATCTATTTTCTTGACCTTGGCAATAAGTTACATTGGAAGAATGGAGAATATTAGGAAATATTTTACATTTTATTATTTTTCTTTGCAGGAAAAGCCTAACAAATTCATAAAACTGTCCGGTGCACTTACATGAGCCACAATTCAAAAGAGTAATGTATATGCTTTTCTAAATAACATCCTCTTTAACTATACTCCCCTTTAATAGAAAGCACATTAACCTTCATTTAAAATGCCATGGCAACATGATGTTTTTACAGACAAAAAAAAAAAAAGTTGTGAAACAACCGGCGGAGCTCCCACGGGATCAGTCCGCCCCAGAAACGGCACCGAATGTCATGAGAAAGAGGGAAAGACACAGGCTAAATATGGAACAAAAGGGTCCTTGGTGGCTGCGATGACGACGACGATCTCAGGGTTAAAGACTCCCCCAGTAGGAGAGAAGAACAAACTCCTAAAAGCTGAATTAGCATTCCCGTCAATCACAGCCTTGGCTGGAGACGCATGCACTAAGCAAAGCTCTGATTTAATATCCCCTCCCTTCCCACCGCCCCCTTCTGTACCTGGGCCCCAAACTCTATCAGCATACTGACAGAAATATGAGGTGGGAGCAGAGGACAAGAGAGAGCAGGCGAAATGGGGAGCAGGGACAAAAAGGAGAAGCGGGAAATGAAAAACGGGAAGGAAAGGGTGTGCACAATAATGGAAAAAGGAGTAATCTGCAGATTTTATCACGGCCAACTTTTCCTGTACAAAATGATGTGCAGCCGCGGCTAGAAGCTGCAGCTAAGTGGGTTTGCCGGTGTTTACCCTTCAACAGATGTCTGTTTCTAGGCTGATCAAACGCAAAATGTAAAAGGAAACAACATTCGAGACCACAAGTTGACATCTTACATATTTATAGCGAGAAGTATTCACACCTCTTGAACTTTTCCAACATTTTGTCGACATTACAACCGTGTGGAAATTTTATGCTTTTATGATGTGTCAACACTTTGTCGTGTGATATTGTTACGTGGAAGGAAAAATGATTTTATTTCCCTTCCGCTCCACAAATATGCACAACTTTATGTTGGTTCCATCACGTGACATCATAAAAAAAATAAATTAAGCTTTTTCTAACAGAACAAAAAAGTTGAAGACACAGCAGTTTGACATGAATTTACAGGTCAAAATATAAGGCGATATGGCATCGGTCTGTGTGAGCTTTAAAAATCAACTGTCTGCAGACATAGCATCGCCGTCAGTGAGCTTATTAGGGAGAAAAATGTCCAAATATTATTATTACAAGAAAATATTCCAGAAATGTCAGTGAAAATAATTTGGGAAATGCCCATGGGAAAGGGGTCCTTAAAGCCTCCGTGGCAACAGTGGGACAGAGCAATGCGAGGGAGGAAAGTGGAGAGAGAAAGGCTGCAGGGACGAGAGGGGTAGAGGAATTAAGGATGGTAGAGAGGTTAGGGGGGCGTGAAGGGCGGGGGCTTGGACTGGTTCTGTCAGAAATGCTGACCCGTTCCCACGCTGGTCTCCTTGGATCATTTCCCTTCTTACTGCCGGCCCACAGGACCACAGTCCACCCTCCCTGCGTTCCTCCAAGGATAGACAACGTCAGCAGATACAAAGTCCCACCCAAACACATCTATTCCTACTCGCAGATAAATGACAATAGATTCGCAATAAATTCCTGAACTGAAAGCTTTCAAAGGGATTCAGCAGGTTAAAATTTGACAGGGTTAAAAAGCAAGGCAGAAACCTCTCCATCCTTGGAAGGTTTCCATGTGTCCGTGTTCCTGTCAGAAGTCAAAGGTTTACGAAGCACGATTGGGTCATGTTTGGAGTGGTGTTCAGTCAGGGTGGGGACTGTTTGACATGGCTCATTCACAGGAGATGGGTGTTATTTCCTCAGCACTTCCTGGTCTCTCGAAGGGAGTGTCAGGAGAGGCGTAAAGAATGAAGAGGAAAGGGTAGGAGTAGGTCAGCAGAAAGAAAGCAACATCCGAATGGCGAGAAGATGAAGGAATAGTTCAGAGTTTTCTAATTTCAGAGTTATGGTCATCGAGACGCATCCCTAAAACGGTCTTCATATTGCTAGAAAATGAGTTTTCAAAAAGAAAAATGCTTGCTTATTGGAGTAAGTTTTGGTCCCCCGCTCCCCATCAATGTATTGTTCTTCAGCAGAATTATGAGCAACTATGCTTCCTTGAATTTGAGGCAATCCAACATGTGGATTCCATCAGGGTACGTCTCTGTTAACACATTGTAGGACTCAAGGTATCCCAGGTCTTTTATTCTCCAGAAAAAACATAATTGTCAAACAACTTTCATGTGCTTCAAGTAAAATAAATTCTGCAAAGATAGATAACAACTGGCTGACTTGCTAGCACAAAGCTACCAGATAGCTTTATTAAATTAAAAGCAGGTCGTTTTGGCATTTTCACCTCAATTTTGCTAAAAAAAATGTTTAACATACAAGCAACATAATATGCAATGCTCATCACAAAATGAACTACTTCAATCAAAAAAAAATATACATCTAAATACATCACAAACTAGCTGTGTGTACAGCAAAGTTAAAATGCTACCACACAGCAGAAAAATTCGTAAACTTAATTTGGCAATTATTAACTTTTTAATCGACTTGCATATGCTTCTACACAAAGAAAGACCAGTTTCAGTCAAAGCAGCATGGTTTCAGAATCGACTGAGAAAATTCCATGTCAATGAGCTCTTTGGAGACATTCCTGTCCGAGTGTGTTTCGCTGAAGGAAAACATACTCCAGTACTGATGAGGAGTATTGATTGGGGAATTGAAGAACACGAGTGTGCGAGGAAGCTTTGAGGAATAATATGCGGACGTCTGTGGCTTTATTGAATAAACCTGAGAAGTAAATCAAAGCCCTCCGTGCGCCTCTGTCTCAGCAACGACTTCCATTCGACCGACGGAGGCTGATGTGAAACAGAACAGGGAAGACTTGGCTGCCTGTCTTCCACGCCATACATAACAAAACATGGATTAAAGGTTAAAAAAAAAAAAAAAGCTTGAATGGAGCTTGTCAAGCTTTCATCACCTCTAGAGGTGAAAAATGCAGAGTGAAAATCTATTCCACGCAGGCACTCACCCCACACAAAGCAGAACATGATCGAGTACAGCATGCAAACACCCACTGACCACACTACTCACACTCCACCACACAGACAATAGCAGTGACCAAGCATGTAGTAAATGGAGAGCTGGCCAGTAAACACATAATAGTCAGGAATTTAGCATCTCTACAGGCACCATTACATGGCCCCAAATTCTCCCTCAAAGAAAGTTGGAGTTGAAATGCCTCCCTACTGATTTGTTTTTATCTTTTGCCATCATCAACCCAATTTTATTACCAATTGCTACCAATTCCCTGAGTAAATATAAAAAAAATGCAGCTTTCAAATAATTATTTAAATTATTTCAGGATAAAAAGCTAATAACTGTTTGTGCCATCTTTCAGAGCAACAACTGGCATCTAGGGTTTGGAAAAACTGGCAATATGTTGTTTAGATCTCTGTGGAGAAGCTATGGCCCACTCTACCTTTTAATCTTCCAGAATGAACCGCCTGTTTAAGTTTCTGCTCCAGCACCTCAATCGGATAAAAATCTGGCCTTCTACTGTTTGTGGTTCTTCGAAAGTGTGTAATTTCACGCCAAATGCAACGGGGACACACACTTTCCAAAATGTTTTGCTTCCGTCTCATCAGTTCGCTCAATATGCTCCTGAAAGCCTTGGAGCGCATCAATATCAAGATGGAGATTTAGATTCTTTTTTTGTTTTCAGGTGCGGTTATTGCCCAGCAAGTCTGCCCACTAACACTGATCTTGCTCTAGACGTCATTTTTGGTTCTGTTTGGACCTCCTGAATGAGTCCTTGATGTGCACTGGGAATGATTTAAGCAGTCTAAGCATCTCCTTGGATGGTTCATCACTCGTCCACTTTTTTTCCTCCATTCATGGCTCCTGCTGTGGTTTATTTCAGCCGTAAAGCCTTAAAAAAAAAAAAAAAGGCTTTCTAACGCTTTCCAGACACACAATAGATGTCAATAACCATTTCTTATCTGCTCATGAATTCTTTAAATTGAGACCTGATATGTTGCTTTTTGGTATCTCTTTGCCTATATCAGGTTGACATGTAATTTCCTGATTCCCTGATCTGACAGGTATAGCCTTAGTGTGTGGCTCGAGGTTAAGTATAGCTTTTTTTCTCTCCTTAATGAATGAAATCATTGGATAACTGCATTTTTGTTAGTTTGATGATGATGAGACAACACTGCTGAACTAAGAAAGAGGGAAATACTTTACAACAACACTTTAAACATGACTTGCTTTTATGTATTGTCAGAAAAAAACACCAACAAGAGATCTGTGTTGCCTGATTCATAAAATGATGGACGACATATAAAGCTTCAAGGTTTTTCTCTCAGTTGACCCTTTTGATCTCTTCCGTTGCCTTTTCTTTAGTCTGCTTTTTCTTTCCAACTCCATCTCTTCTACAAACATCAACACTTGAAAAATGTATAAATAATTGTAAGCGGTGGACTGTGAGAAGGGGGGCAGGGAGCTGTGAAACCATTAAGCTTCACTTAAATCAGCTATTAAGAGTGCATCTGAGGAAATGAGGCATGAAAGTCTAAGAAGTGGAAATTAAAAGAGGCCCTCAAGACATTACTTCTGCATAACAGACAAAAAATTGGTTGTAGAGATCTCGAATCTAAAAACCTATAATTGCCCATGGCCAATTGAATGAGGAGTGCTCTCCTTGCCGTCCTTTTTGGCTTTCGGAGCAATCCGCGTTTACCTTAGCCGAGGAAAACCAAACACCAGCGCACTCCGTCTCTACAAAATCCAACATCAATGCATTTTGATTCAGACATATTTTATCCGCCAATGGAACAACAAAATTAGGAATAGATGATCAAGGTTAAAACATCTGGCTTTTATTCACAGCTCTCCAAATGGAAACAGGCAGAAACCCAGAAGCCCTGAGGACTATAATCATACACAGGGTACCCATCTTACCGCTACAACATGCCCTCCCAAGATACATTGTTTGATAACGATTGCTAAAGATTACAAATGCTCAAGTAACGTAATTTTTGAAAATTAATTGTGGAGCACATAAATGCATGTTTATCACTCTGTCTTTTATGTACTCCATGTTAGTAGGCAGAAAGTTAGCTGACTCTGTTTGAAGAACCTCAAAGATCGCATGAAAGAGGCTTTTCCAACCACAGGAAGATTTTTAAAACCTAAATATGAAAAATTAGATTGGTATCAGATAATGGGCACAGTGTTAGCTACTAGCATGTCAGCAATGCAGCATTTAATCTCTGTGGAGAAGTAAGTGTTCATCATGTGTTTTTGTTTAAGTGAAGTCCATCTTATTGGCTTTATCTAGTTGGTGTTTGAATTCACAGCATTATTATGCCCAGGATATAAGCTTTAACCTTGACATCTTTTAATCTATGCTTGTGACTCTTATTTTGAAGCAACAAAGGAAGCAGTTCTTTTGGAGACTTGAAAGGCCAAAGACAATCATTGAAGCAGTAAACCAGCATCGGTCAGATTTAAATATAGTCTTAAGAATCGGATAATATGCTCAGCCCTAAATTCAAAGCAAAACCAAAAAATTACAACTATTCTTTTATCAGGCGCAAAGCAGAATTAATTTTAACACCAATTTGAAATGACTATGCCTTACATGTAACCTCAATTGTACTGCAGATTTTCCTTTGCACATAAACAATTTCACCTTGAGCAACTAGCCTCACTCTTTTCTAGAAAACACAACTCGCATATTCATAATGTCTTAGAACGAATTTTCAGAGAAAACCCATCTAAGCATTCTGCAGAGTTCAACCCGGTGTCACTTTGTTTTCCATAAGTGATGCAGGTTCTAATATAAAGACTTCTAAGCAGCGAGTGACCTTGGACGGTTATCTGCATCCAAATCAGACTCTTCCTTAGCGCTAAAGACTGCACGAAAGATGAATAGACCTTTTAGAAAAAAAAATAAAAAATACTGAGTCTAAATGCTTTTGTGTCACACTCTGTAAAAGCCTCTCGCAATAAAAATGCCTTTTAACTACCTTTTTGATAAGTCCACTTTAGCGGGTTGCGGCTGAATCAATTTGCAGAAGCCAACTTGAGTTTAATCAGTTTCTTCCACTAAATAAAAGAGGGTTCAAAAGGCCATAGTATCTGGGAGAGAAAATTGGAAACAGGGAGGCAGGGCATGATTGAACATTAAAGGTAATCACAGAGCGTATCAGATTTCTTATCAAGCCTTTCTTCTTCTTTCCAGCTTTGGGGATAGCCAATATCTGCTGAGTGATGTTTTTAAAAGACCCGGCTCCTGGCTAACGTCCTCCCCTAACTTGGCGTGAGCATCAGAGGTGGTGTGCAGAGAATTAACAACCAGGGAATAGTCGCACAACAGAAACTGCTTCCACATCCATAAAATAAAAATCCTAAACGACAGCAGATTCACCTCTCTGAGGCGCAGGTGTTTTTTTTTTTTAAGCACACAGAGAACGCCTGAATTAAAAGAGACAGCCCAAGACGCGTCTCACCGTTCAGCCTCCAGGCGCATCTCCTCCCGCTTCTGCCTCCTCAGCTCCCGGCGCCGCTCAAAGTCCATGTCCTCCATGACGGTGCTCTGCGGAGACATCATCAAACACAGATATGTTCATTTGCTTGCTTTCTGGCGAGGAAGCAGGACAGAAAGGCATTAATTTACAGCTCTGACCTCATTTTCTGGCACCACTGGAAAAAGAAAAAAAGACGTATAAAAACCTCGCCAGCAGGGGGCCACAGCTCCAGTCAGTGTCTCAAACGTGGTTCTGCTCCAGCTATTGTTCTATTGCAGTTACCCATGTAAAAAAATATCTGATTGTTATTATGGAAACTTAGAAATAGAAGATTGGAGATACTACTATGCATGTTGCATAAAGCATTTTCTTGTAGCCATTTCCTGACTTAAAAAGATCAGTAAAACTTTATATATATAGCACCATTAAAGAAAAAAAATACAAATGATTCAAAAAACAAATATACAAAAATATAAGCATAGACACATTTTAAAATATGTTTTTAGTTGGTCTTTAAAGGAACCCACTGACTCCACTAGAAGCTAAGTTAAATTAGCATGTTAGCTATGCTAAGTTCATTAAAGGGAAAATGCATTAACAGTAATGCATTCCTAAAATAAAATCCGGCTATTTTGCGTTTATGCATTTATTTTAAAGGCTTTTTACACATATTTGCTGCAGTTGTTTTTGATTCATGCAAGCGGCAGCCCAGATAGTGCTTCCTTTTCATGTTTAAATATCACACTGTACTTAAACAGCACGACGTGCAACTTTAATTGCTAACTCTCTCAATGGGGTTATAATTTTGCACACACAGCTCTCATTAGTTGTCAGCAAGCTGAGGAGCGAACCTAAAAAAAAAAAAGCATACAACTGAGCACAAGAACAAGAGAGATGGAGAGAGAGCGAGAGAAGACGAAGCCAAGACAGGATGTTAACATCATCAGTTTGGAGTAAATCTAAAGAAAAAAAAAAGACTTGGTACACAACTGGCTGTGAGGCCTGAGGCCACCCAGGAGCTGTGGAGCTTTCCATCAAATATCTATGATTCTCATGAAAAAAACTAACTGGAATGAAGCGAACTATAACTGGCAGGTTAGGTGTAAGCTGCGGCTTAACACCTATTTTAATAATGTGTGGCAAAAAAAAATGAAAACAGTGCTGAGAATAAGATTCTTAAAACGGACTTAAGCCACAAAGGAACTGCGTCGTACCTTGAATTGGCCTCCAATATCTTTTGTTTTTGTCCCTCACACCATACCAGCAACTTGTAACGGTTTGTCCGAGCAAAAATGCAAAGCAACGTCTCCCAAAGCTGGAATCATTTGAGAGAAAAAAGCAAATGCCTGCTTGTTCCTCCTTCCCTCCTAGTTGTCCCTCCCTCTTTCTGTCCTCCCATCTCTGCTCCAAAACTTTTTTCTGTGTTGTTTACAGACGTGTCAGAGCTTGGCTAAACTTTGTTTTCCTACTCAGCTTCCTGAATGCTGCGAGTTTTGCACCCTATCTTCCCATTTGTGGTCCCACATTAGACATTGCCACCCAGGTATATATGCAAACAGGCACATAGGAGAAGTGTTATAGACTTTTTGTGCTTGCACATGCTAATGACCAGAAACAGATGCATGCTTGTGAAAAGCACCTGCAGACTCTCGCACACCCCTCAACCCCCTATTGCATTGTCAACCCTTTTTACGCGAGCCTGTAAACAAAAACCATGCCTCAGCACAGCATTACCCTCGTCTTAAGAGACGCTCTAAATAGTGCGAGGATTCTATGTTTAGCTCCGCATTTAGAGTTATTTGTGAAAATGATGAGAGCGGGACACGGCCGGTCACACCACCGTAATCAAGACGAGACGAGAGCAACAACAATCAAACCTGACGAGACCTCGCTGTCCTCATCGCACGCCTTCCAGAAACCGCCAAACTCCCAGGGAGGGAGAACATATTAGCAATGAGAGCACGCAAAGAATGTAATTTGGGCTTATTATTACACATAATGTTTGATTTATGCAGCTGAGGTGCAAGCCTGTTTGTTCAATGTGCACAGTTTTAAAAAAATGATTTAAAGACCTGTCATTTATCAACAGATGGATGCAGCAAATACATCGTAAGGTGATTTGTGATTCATGTTGTAAAGTATTATTGAGTAATAAACAAGGGGAGAGGGAATAAAAACATTTTAAAAACTTTTTATTGTTACAATATATGTATTGTTCTTAATTATTGCAGCCATTAACTTCAGGTTAGCTCTATTTTCTTCCCCATATAAAGTTCACCAGGCTCAGTTATACCAAAAGTCACAATTCAGAGTAATTAGTAGGGCTTTATTGCATGACCAACTGAATTTGACCAAATAATATGATCTGAATATCGCAATGTGACTGGATTGGACTGAAGTCCTTAAGGATTAAATTCGCTCTAAAATAGAGTGATAAAATAAACTTATTAAACTGAGGAATCACCTGAATCCCTAGAGAAAGGATCTTAAGTGCAACCTGGAGGTGTAACTGTTGTTTGCGTCGCTGAAGGGACCACCCACACATTACAAAAAGCTAACAAAGGCATAAAGTTGAGGCAGCCAGAGAAAACATTTTGTCACATTTAAACCTGCCCAAGCCTGTCAGCTGTACATCTCCCTTCTCTGTCTTTGTCCGTTTATTCCCGTTCATCTACCCACGCCTCGCCTCGATTTCTTGCATCATGTCTGCCTTTTCTGCCTTAGTATGAATAATGACATTTTTATCAGTCAAACTATGAGCCGACGAGACCGCCAGACCCCTGGCACATAACCCACTGTCTAAGTGCCAGTGCCTTGAAAGCCCTTCAGAACCATATGATCCGCACATTCACTAGGATTATACATCATGACTCCACAAACCAAAAGCCTTGAGTTGAAACAATAGAACATTGTTGCTCGAATGAGGCACAACCAGAGAAAAGGGAAGAGGTTGGATTGGGAAAGAAGAAATGGCTTCAGGTTCTGCTGAAATGCTCCCAACATTGGATAACTTCTATCACAAGAGAGGACTTGCTATCCTCTTGCAATCTTTTCACAAACACATTAATCTTCAAGGTGAAGTCATGAAGCTATGTGAGGAATGTTATTTCACCTTTGATTCTAATAGATGGACTTTGAAAAGATTCCATATTTCTTATTACACATGCCAGTTCAACAAAGCTCCTCTTCTTTGCGTGTGCAGGCCCCGTTTTGGTCATTGAGTAAATGGGGGTTTACATTGAGATGAAGTGGATGAGCAAAAAACAGCATTACGCCTAGTTATGGATTTTCTAGCTATGCAGTTAGTTAGTAAAATTGCAACATTTCTAACATTTCCAGCTGGTATGGCTCGCTTTCATACTGCATTGTGCCAAATGATTCAAACTAATTGAAAAACCTGCATTTTCCACCCTCGCCTGGAGAGGCCCTGCACCAAGATCTACTGAAGACAACAACACGAAAACCTCCAAAGAATACATGAACGCAGCTTTCTTCTTCAACAAGCACAAAAATGGAGCACGATCACAATTGAGCAGTTGTAGGATTTCGCGTTAGACTCTCGCCTTTGTTTTGCTTCCATTGGCCCTGCGCTACAGTTCACTTCCTGATTTTGGAGTGGTCTCTGGTTCACTTGGCGTTCACATATAAATCCAAACTGAAATAGAGTTCACTTTAATTGAACCAAAACCTAGGTTTTTAAGCGGACCAGCGTTCGCTTTTTTTGTTAAGTATCAGAGTTCGATTACTCATTCACAGCTCCCCAAACAAACTAGACTGCTGCTCGATTAAAGTGGACTAAACAGGACTGGTGTGAATGCACCCCAACATGCTGACAGTATTTTTACTTTAGGGGAACAGCTATGTACTTTGTGAGGTGTATGCAGACACATTAGGCAAGTTGGGAAAGAAAAGCTGAGGATGTTGTTCTGAGTTCCTTGGTGACCCCTCTTTGGTTACTCTTGTGGACACTTTCTCTAACGTAAACTACAGAAACAATGATGGCAATTTCAGTTCTAATTGGAGTCCCAGTGCAGGAAAGCAAAAGTGCACCAATTACTAAAGTTAAATCTACAACCCTTCTCAAGAGAAAATGACCAAAGTATATATACATATAAAAAAAAAACCTAAGAGGAAGAGCAGGGGCAGGTGCTCTTTTTCATTTCAAGCTGAGAAAGTGTATTTCAGGAAAGAAAGAATGATCATTTTATGGTTATTTTATCACACCGATAAAGCCTCGGCAGTAAAATAAGGAAGGTGAGAGGAAGACACTTCATGCCGGTAGGTAGTGCGCTCTAACAGCTGTTTTGGCCGAGGCTCAGGGGACAGTTTGAGTTGGGTAAATGTATCGTTTCTCGCAGAGGTAAGGAGTCCCCTGAGAGTTGTCTCAGAGCCGTTAAAATAAAAGTGTAAGGGGGTTTATATATTATAACGTGAAAAGTAATATTTTTTTTTAGACAAAATATTTTAATTGACAAGTCTCCCACCAGCCTTTAGGCCACAAATTGACGAGGCCACTCTAAAAACAATCTAAAGCAACACTGATTTACATAAAGACCCGGTACGTGTAGTGACTGTGGGCGTTTGTGCATTAAACTGGCAGGTTTATATTGTTGTTTTGGTTGCTACCATTATTAAATCATCTAGAATCTCCTCTGCATTTAAATGTTTCAGAACCAGAGTCATAAACCGATCAAATCTTGTAGAACTATATCTTCTTAATTAAAAATAATGTTACAGTAAAGGGGATGTTACACATTTTGAGTGAGTGTCTCTTTGTTGCCCTGCAAAGGACTGTGCAGGGTGAACCCCACCTGTCACCCAATGATGAGGGAAGGATAAGTGGGCATAAATAATGGATGGAAACATGTTAACCAATTAAAAGACATTCACACTTTCTTAGCTTATCTTGTAAATTTTCTTTCAAAAGGCAGACTTTCTTTACAAACACCTGAAATGATCCAAATTCAAGAAATGCGTCCTATTTGTTTTTTTTTCCAATGTTGTAATGTCAAGCTCTACTTTTAGTCCAACAACTCAGATTGATATGTACATTATGATAGCTTGAAATCCTTGTCAGTTGATGTTTATCATAGCAACCATGCTAATTTATTAGAAAAATTCAGATGTAATTATTTTTTTTTTTACATAAAACCAAATGTTTTACCTCAATTTAATTGTGAATTGCTGTGCTGTGGTTTAATCATTACGTCAAGTAGGCCAGTCATTTCCGTTTCAACATTCCAACCCACTGAGCTACATTCACAATCTCTTTGTTTTGGGTTTAAAAAATTTTTGAAACATTTTTTATTCCTGCATTAGGATTTAGATAATCAGTATTTAACCAGTGGTTCCAATATCTCTTATAAAACAAGAACTAGCTCTACATTTTGTGTCAAAACTACTGCCTTTCCTCAGAGTTTAAGTCTAACTTTCCCACACACACTTCTCTTACTGTCCTTCCTGCTTCGACCACAACACCACAGCTAAACCAACAGCTGCACACTCTGCATAGCTAAAATATGAAGAGAGGCGGGGATAGTTGGCTACGAATTAACTCGAGTGCTCAGCTTAATTTACAGGGTTTAAGCCTTTGTTGGAGCCAAACTTCTTTCTTGATTTGTCATAGCAAATGTCAACCACAAACTTTTGCTCCCAACGCCAGGATCCTCAGCTGCAACCGTACTTTGTACGCAACATATGAGGTGGCCAACTGCATCAGCGCTCAGCTTGGCCTCACTGCCATCTGCTTTCCGCATACATTCGCTCGTCTTCCAAAACAAATTTCAGAAGCTTCAGCTGAAATGGGGAAAATTTTCACCAAGCGTGAGCCTATGGCATTTACAGGCAAACCTGAGAGGGTAATGCCAACGCAAAGTGAAATGCAACCATGAACGCCCGAGGCGAATAGTCATCAGGATCTAGTGATTAAACGCAATTTTCCATTAAATCCTTCTTCGGTTTCCTCTGTGCTGACTTAAGCTGAAAAAAAAAAAAAAAAAAAAGATCAACCAGCGAGGGAAAACATCACTTCAGGATAAGGAAAAGATCTGAAGGTTAAAGATGTCAAGTTTCCATTTGGTGAGGAGAAAAGGAGACTCCTGCATTCCCAGACAACGGTTCACATTCCATAGCACCTCTCTGTGCCATGTGAATCATATACGCTGAGACAGGCGGACTGAGGTTCATCTTCTCACACACACACAGCCAAGAAAGTCTCAATGGAATACCGCAGAGGCATTATACGCTGGACAAAACTAGCTGGCTTTAAATTCAACACTCAATCAGTGGCTTAAAAGACAAACGGCACCACGACCAAACAATAATGTGGACAAGTTGGGGAAAA